TATATATATATATATATATATATATATATATATATATATATATAATCTAATCTAACAGAATAATTGACTTATTAACTTCAGGATCATTGATCTGAATAATTAAGTTTAAATTAATAATAATACACTTATCAAATCTCTATAAATTAATCTTAGTATTTGTCTACTTTTAATTTTCGATGTGAAGTAAAATTATAATTGTTCTGAGAAAAATATAGTTATGATGAAACTTAAACATCAAGCATTTTGATTTTACATTTCAGTTATTCCTTTGGAGAAGGACTCACACAGGACTCGTCGAAGAGATGAAGAGGAGGCAGGTGGAAGCTCCAACGATGCCGGTGTAAGTGATTCAAATCATCAACATCTTTTCCATCACAATATCAATAGTCCACTATTGTCTCTTATTTGTTTCTCACTTTGGCGTTTACATATATATAATCTCAAGCAAGCTGAAGCCGCAGAGCAAGATGACCACGAATATTTCGGGAGGCATAGAACAATTCGTTCAAGATTTCCATCTTGCTGCTGTACTCTCGTTGACATATTAGTCTTCCCAGGCACTCCTACTAGCTTCTCTGTCTACAATTTTTGTAGTCATCCAACTTCTGTTTCATTACACTGATGTATTCCTTTTTGTGCTTGCAGTCAAATGGGTTCGTCTGTTTCTTTTCTTCATTATAAGGACTTGTGAGTAACTGTTCCCAAACAGTACATTGATGATGTTAAGAGCCATGTCCTACTGTTTCATTACGAGTTCTAGCAAATTAGGAAAGTACTATAGAAAAGGCTTCTTGTAATTTAGTTCTCCAAAACAAAGTAGTTTACATGATGGATAATTATAGCTTATTTGCGGAAACACATAAATGGGATGATCATGTCGCTGACTTCTTCTGATGTTAATTTGGAGATGCAATGCGTTTAAGATTAATTTAGTTCTTCTGATGATCATGTCGGAAAAACATAAATGCAGTGTACCCTCGAACCCGACATCTGGAGAAGATTAAGAGAACCCATAGAAAAGCCTTGGAACTCATCGAATTTTTAGCCCGCGACCCGAGAAACATGGAGTTCTACGTGCTGGGAAGAATGCAAGGTGACGGCGGAGCTCCTGCGGCAGGCTTTCGAGAAAGAGGTGGACGACAAGATCAACTTAATGCACCAGCTGCGTCTACGAGAAGATGGAACGAGCCACCCTTGATCTTGGGTGCACAAATGGGCATTCCCGAGTTCGTCAGTACCATCTTACGAGTGTGTCCGGAGGCAGCTACCTACCTGGACACCCGTGGCCGAAGCGTTCTCCAAGTAGCAATAGAGCATGGTAACCGAGAGATTGTGAGAACTATACGTGAGATGACTCAGGGGAAGAATCCCATACTACCATCCTGGCTACTGTCCCGCGTCGACAAAGGGACCGGAAGAACCATCCTGCACTTTGCTTCGGCAAATGCCCCTGAGCATAACCAAGATGCTCTACAAATGCAAGATGAATTAAGATGGTTTGAGGTCAAGTCCCTAACTACATTAACTAGAAATAAAATATTTATATTCTCGGAGTTGCCTACTGAATTTGATCGTTTTCTGACATTTGAATGCAGACGGTGAGAGATATGGTTCCTAAGGAATTAGTGTACAGTCGAAACGCGCAAGAGATGACCGCAGAAGAGATGTTTACCAAGAGTCACCAAGCTTTGCTCAAGAGTTGCAAGGTTCAACTAATGGAAACGGGAAGGTTGTGTTCGGGGCTGATCGCAGCTGTAGTGTTCGCGTCGAGCTTCTCCATCCCCGGCGATAAGGACCCAGCGACCGGCAACCCGGTTTACTTCGGTAGGGCAGCTTTTAAGGTCTTCTCACATGCGTACGTGATTGGGTTGTCATGCGCCGCCACATCTCTGGTGTTGTTCTTATCCCTCGCCATGTCACCGAACAAGGAGCAGCAGTTCCGTCGTATAATCCCCACCAAATACTTCTTTGCCCGCTCGTCGTTTGGGTTTGCGATGCTGTCTTTTCTGGTGGCGTTCACCTGCAACATCTACCTACAGTTATATGGCTGGCAGAAGACGAAGTCGAAGGACTTGATTCCATTCGTATTGGAGCTCACCGTCTTCCCTGTTAACTGTTTCCTGGTGTTGTTCTTTCGTGGCTTCACCTTCGATATACCTTTCCTTTTTCGTTCTTGGCGTTGAGTCAACAAGTATGATCGTCCACATCTTTGGAATCTGCAGCTTCATGATGTAACGTCGGTTCTACCTATTACGGTATGCCACCTGTACTAGCGGTATGTAGTGGTAGTTGTCATTGGACAGTTAATATCTCGTGTGTACAAGCAGCAACAAAGGCATGTTATATGTGGACGCTATTTGATTGTAACTTTAATGTGGTCTTTTCTTCTATCTTAAATTAGATGTTGATATAGGCGCAACGGTAGACAACAGAGCTGATCATGCCCTTCAATACTGAATACTGATAGCTGTTGATGGGATCTTATCCTCTCACCGTTGACTGTATTGTCATGTAAGATATGCATGGACGTCCTTTCGTTTTCCCAGAGATCGGCTAGAAGATGATAGGCTGAGTCTTATTGAATCTTCTGTGACAATCACGTAGTCCTTATCATACAGTTTTGGCCCTCCAAAGTTTGCACAGGCAAACGAAATGAAGGACGTCAATTTTGGATTGAAAAAAGATCATTTAGCTTTTCGAAAAAGAAAAAGAATAACCTTTATAAAATGGATAGAAAACTCTCCGTGGAGGCCTTTACACCCGCTCCTTAGCAGCATGCATCCATTGACTGGAATCAATAAGAAACATTTAAGAAAAGATAGAAACAGATGTATCGTGGTCCAAAGAGTGAAGAAGACAAACTAACCACAAGCAATGCTCGTCTATTTCAATGACCCGTCACAAGTCTAATACAGCCACAAAACATTAAAAAAAAGGAAGAAGCTTCTTTATGAGGTGCCAAAGGTTATGGACATCTATCTATCTGATTCACGGACCGAATGGTCACCATCGTCGAGTACCTCCTTCGAAGCCAATTGGTCGGTCGGCTCCTTTGATTCCTTTCTCCATATCTACCAAGTGCTGCTCACCCTTTCTTTTAAGTACTTTCTAATCCTCTATCCATCTCTCCATTTTTATTTTTTCTACTTTTACTGTTATAATAAGCTTTTTAAATTATTTTTATTATATTAAATTACATATAGGACATCCTTATATAAACATATCATTATATTACCGGTCAAAATTCTAATCACTGAAAAGTTAACGAAGATAAGTGGCATTCCTTCAAATACATGCGATATGTAGGACCACAAGTTATTATTACCATAATGATTTTTGGGATGTGAAATTATAGTATATAGAGGACATAATCACATCAATTTATAATCCGTATTTAATTGACTCTTTCAAACATTGTCCATTTTTTGACCTAATGCTCCTATACAAGATTAATATAGCTATACACATTGTCTTTCAAAGGAGCATCAATGCCTCTACAAGATTAATATAGCTTTCCTTGTCCATTTTTTTACCTAATGCTCCTATACATAGAATCACACAATCCTCATTTAAGCATAAATACACCTCTATATGCATAGCTATCCACAAGATTTTGATGAAGAAATGTGAAAAATATAAATATTTTGCTTTGATTCCTTTTAAATTTATATTTTATTATTGGTTTCTTTTATCATTCTTTTATATTAATTTTTTTGTCATATATTAAATTTTGAATCATATTTAGAAAGTGAACCAAAATCACTATGGCCCTGTGATTAAAAGTGATCAATTTGAACCACCAAATAAATAATTTTGCTTTGATAGCTGATGATAAATGTGTTGGGAAAGAAAAAAAAAAAAGATTTCATAGAAGAAGGGAATAGTTCATTGCACTGAAAGAAGATTGCTGGTTACATAAGAGTAGGGCTAAGTTCTCCATTTTCTAAGAGAGTATTGTGCATAATTATTTTGAATAAAAATCGTAGATTAGGATAGTTGCATCCATTACCTATGCTGTAATTATACATTAGCCCTTAAAACACCTTCTTAATTTATAATTTTGAGATGTTTTTTGACCTTCTTAAATTTTTCTAGTGTAATTGTTTTGGTGAGGAAATCTGCACTACTGATCACTTGAGATGCTTTTTGAACTACCCATACTGATCACTTGTGTTGGTGAACTTCAAAACTATCTCATCTTTGTTCATCAAGTTTCTAGTGAAGTGATGATGAATTTCAATGTGTTTGACCTTGCATGAAAGAGAGAATTTTTTTTGTAGTTTTCCATCTCCAAGTTTTATTTGAGAAGAGAAGTTGTGATCAAAGTTTACAAATATCTTTTCATTCCCAGTCTTGCTGCAATCACTGTTCAAATACCACACATTTTATGCTTCTTGTTGAACATTCATATAAGAGAAGAGTGTTCGATTTCATTCTTGATGAAGTTTGTCTCTTCCTTTTCATTCTTCTCTTGAAACTACCAATCTCTTTGGGTTTGAGAATGATTGGGAATTCTCCACCTCTTATATCTAAATCTGTAATCTGATTGTTTTGTTCAACAGGTTGTTTTGAACTTCTTAAATTTCTCTGATGTGATTGTTTTGTTCAAAAGGTTGATTGGAAGATGATCTGTTCATTCTTTCCTCATGCACTTGAAGGAAACTCATCAATTCAAGAATAAGCAGATAGTATGACGACATGATCATACTTGGTGGGAAGACTTGTAAGAACTTTGCAAACAACCTTTTTTTTTTCCTTAATAGTATCCCCAAAACTTCTAATCTGATTGACAATTTCAATAACTTTTGTAAGAAACTCTTACATACCTTGCCCTTCTTTCGTTGTCATGTTCTCAAACTCTCTCCAAAGTGATTATAGCTTTTCGTAGATCACTTTGTCATTCCCTTGGAACCCTTCTTTCAAGATTTTCCATGCTTGTTTTGCCTTTTTTACACTACTCATCCCTTGTTGAATATATGGAAGAGCACTTGTATCCCTCTTCATGGATAGATTCTCCATTCTTCTTCATTCTCTTGATTTTGAGGTGATTCTTTATATGAATCTTCAATCATATCCCAAAGGTCTTGCGTTTGACTACTCCAATAGACATAGTGCTCTCCCTCAAAGATGGGAACCTCAGTAGGAGTGTAGGCAAATATGGTGGGGATGAATGTCATTCAACAAGAAAGAAAGGAAGGCTCTCATACCAAATTTGTTGGGAAAGAAAGAAAGATTACATCATACATAAAATTAGGCCAAAGTTCTCCCTTTTCCAAGAGAGTATTATGAGTAATTATTATAGTTGCACCCATTACCCATATTAAAACTATAAGTTAGCCCTTAACAAGATGTGAGTATTATAAGGTATGAAGATGAAATAAAAAGAAATCTATATCCATGCTCATCATAGAATTCATCACTTTTCTTTTACATCTTACGGATTCGTGAGTGGGAATTGATTAATATGCACTTGCCAACCAAATGCAGTTGCTTTTATTTGTGTTTCTCCTCACACACATACACGGTTTCATTCGTTTGTCAAAGCACAGAGCCCTTTCACCATCGGAGCAAAAGAGTCACCGAAGTAAGGGCTTTTAAAGACGCCATTAAAGCAGGGATCCCCCATCGATTTCACCGCTCGGCAGCACTCCGGACTCAGGTTCATTTCGCCTGTGGACTGCGACCGGAAGATGGAACGAATGCATCCGTCGACGGGGCGGAGGGAGATCAAGCATGTCTCGATCATCGGGGCGTGCATCACCGGGCGCGGCGCCAACCGCGGAAGCCGATAACACGGCCACTGTGCTTCTCCCACGCATAGTTTCCGATCTACGATGCGAGAGATCACGGCTTCGGCCCCCCAAGCAGCCACGTTGACGAGGAGCACAAGCAGCAGCCCTTGCAGCTTCCTCATGATGATACTTGTAGTTGACGGAGAAGACACGAGCTTTAGGATCCAAGGTTGGTGGAATATATGCATATATAATGGCATAGGATGTTGTTACTCGTCTTGCTTCCGTAAGTCACATAAATCCTCATCGAGCGTTAGCTCTAAACAAGAACAAGTTTCGATTTCGCCTTAAAGACGGAGTATTTAAGTATAAACAAATAGACTGGGAGTTACATACACTTCATCACAAGTTCTGTTTGCTAAAGGCAAAAGAAGAAGGAAGTATAGGCTCAAGTGCAAGAGATGCTTTCTTTTATGGCACATCACGTTGATTCCGATGGATGATGCTGTTCGCTATAATAACGAGCAGGCGTGGGAGAAAGGACTAAAGCAGCTTGAGCATTGGAAGAGTATTTTTACGCCTAGACAAGCATGAATCAGAAGAGTACATTACTGTAGCCGTCATGTAATTTTACCCACTTTTCCTCTTTCAATGTGAAAGAAAAGGAAAAGAACACAGATCACTTGTGATGAATCAGAATACAATGTCTCTTCTTGCTGATATATGTAATCAGCATATATATATATATATATATGTTTATTAAATAATAATAATAATAATAATAATAATAAGTGCAACTATCTCGGTGACAGAGATCACGGCAGGCTTCGTAGATTCAATTGGGACACCTGTTTTTTTTTCCATGTAAGCTCGAGTAAGACTTGAGTGCAAGAGAAAGTGAAGTGTGTGGAGTTTTCCCCTTTTGTTTAAATTTATTTAAAGCCTGTGTTGCTTACTTTAGCAAAAGCCGTCATTGTTGCCTACTTTTGCTTTTGCATAGAGAACGAAAGAACCAGACGAGACGCGAGGGGGAGATTCGCCTTTTTGCACTTTAACTCCCTTGGAATTGTTACCTATCATTCTGATCTAAGTAATCATTGCCCAGCTCGAGTTAGAGAATCTCAAGCTATCCCCCGATGAGAAGCAAAGCTACTCGATCAACTGGAAACGAGGAAGGTGGCGTCTGTCGGTCGATGGGCGATGGGGTCCAACTCCACCTCATCTCCTCCTCCACGTAGCCATTATATATATATAGTGATCGGTGAGAACGAAGCAAAAGGACGAATATGGCGGCTCCCTTCGGCGTGTTTCCGCTGCCGACGCCTTCTGCTGATGAAGGCGCCGGAACAGAAAGACAAATAGAGGAACAGCCGTCTGTCCCTGGGACGTTGCAGCCTGCAGATGGCGCCGGTGGTGGTGGATCAGAGGAGCCACCGCATGTCCTGGACGTGGCACGCTTCCGCCGGCTGAACTGGCTCATCCACCGTGAGAACGTGGACGTGAACGAACTTCTGCGTCTAGTGGAGCAGGATAACCATGTGAACCTCATGAACGACCCCTTGCTCAGCGTCGTCATCGCCTGCAAGAAGCCCAAACTCGCCGTCCTCCTCATCGCCAAAATATCAGATTCCACGCTCAAGGCCGACAACTACAACGGCGACACGGCGCTTCACGTAGCTGCAGCCATGGACGACAAAGAAGTGGCCTTGGAGCTGATCCGCAGGGTGCCAAATCTCGTTCATGTGCGGAACGTGAAGCAGGAGATACCGCTACATAAGGCGGCAATGTACGGGCTGCAGGACATGTTCTGGCTACTGGTGGAAAAGAGCAGCTCACCGGAAGCCCGGAGGGAGGACGGCGCCACCATGCTGCACTGTGCCATCATGGGCAATGCGCCGGGTAACTATCACTACATCCTCTTTCCCTTGTACACGGTTCAACTTTAATTAACATATTGGTACGCCTGCAGTACTTGCCTTGCAGATTGCACAGTATTATCCATCTCAGATCGAATCCCGGAATGAGCACGCCCTCACTCCGCTGCAGCTGTTGGTGACTATTCCAGAGGCGTTCCGAAGCCAAGTAGTTCTTGGGGTCCTCGACTCCTTCATTTACGACTGTGAGTGCTACCCGCCTCGACTCCTTTTTCTGTACTTACATCAACAATTCTCATCTACGATGAGGTTAAAAAATCAATTAAAATTTACATAAGAATATTCGCAGAGCTCTTTGGTTTTACATTTCAGGGATCCCTTTGGAAGAGGACTCGAGTAAAATGAAGGAAACCGATGAAGAGGTGGCACCCAACATATCTGTATGGACTTATGCATGAATGACATAGCATCAAATCATGGGTACATCTTTTACGTTTAGCTCTCTGATTCGGTTCTCTCTGTGGCATGCACATGTAATCTCAAGCGCATTGGAGTAGCACAAGACGATGACGGTGACCACTCGCCTAAGACTTTTCGCTCAAAATTCCCATCAAACTACAGCACGCTCTTTGACCTGCTGGAGTTGACCAGCATCCCAGGTACTCGTTCTAGCTTCTCTACTTGCCAATAATATCCATCGTAAAGTGAAAGGCCCTTAATCTATCATGTTATGGTTATTAAAGGTAGGATAACATTGATTTATGCATGCATTTTGTCCTGCAGCTGGCTGGATTCAGCGATTTGCTTATAACATTATATGGCAATGTGAGTTAACAGTTCTTACACCTATACTTTTCTTAGCAAATGATGTATGTCTTACAAAAATTTAAAATAATTTATGGTAGGTTTTTACGGTACATGATTAATGCTAACTGAAATGCATGGGTGCAGTCTCCCCGAGAGTCCAACGTTTGGAGAGGAAGAAGAAGAACCATACAGAAACTATGCACCTCATCGAATACTTAGCCCAAGCAGGATACTTTGACTTCTTTGTGCGTGGAAAAGACCCCACCCAAGGTAGTATACTTGGTCCACTAGACTCTCCACCGGAGACTGGAAAAGAAGGTGATGCCCAAAAACCGGACACGGAACCCACAACTGCAGTGAAAGAGCTCATCAAGAGGATGACAGATAAGCTCTACAAGTTAGTGTCGGAGGAACCGGAAACACCTGTCTCGACTGCAATCAAAGAGGCAGCTCAGAGTGTGGAGAAAGTGTTAAAGGCACTGTCACCTAGCTCGGAAGATAGATGGAACGAACCACCCTTGATCTTAGGCGCACAAATGGGCCTTCATGATTTCGTCGGCAAGATCCTGCAAGTGTGCCCGCAGTCAGCAACCTACCTGGACACGAAGGGCAGAAATGTTCTCCGAGTGGCGATAGAATCTGGGAACCGAGAGACTGTAGAAACTATCCGTAGGATGACCCAGGGAGACAACCCCATTTTACCATCCTGGTTGTTGTCCAGCATCGACTCTAAAACCAGAAACACCATCCTGCATTTTGCTTCTGAGAAGGTCGGTGATACCGGAGACGATGCAGTCCAAATGCAAGACGAGATACGATGGTTTGAGGTTACGTACTCCCAGTGTTCGATCATATGTCTCATAAGAGAAATATTTGTCATTGTAGAATTCCAAGTGATCATTAATTAATCGTATGCATGCAGATGGTGAAAGAGATGGTGCCTAGGGAGCTCGTGTACAGTCGAAACACGGACGAGAAGACAGCACGGGAGATATTTACCGAGAGCCACAAAGAGATGTTTAAGAACTGCAAGAGTCAGCTAATGGAGATGGGCAAGACATGTTCAGGCCTCGTAGCGGCGGTGGTCTTCGCGTCCAGCTTCTCCATACCGGGCGAGAAGGATTCCGGAACCGGCAATCCTATGTACTTCAACAGGCTAGCCTTTAAAGTGTTCACGCATGCGTACGTGATCGGGTTGTCGTGCGCCGCCACGTCTCTGGTGTTGTTCTTGTCCCTCATCATCTCGCCTTACAAGGAGCAGCAGTTCCGCCGTGCCATCCCCACCAAGTACTTCTTCGCTTGCTTCTCGTTTGGGCTGGCGCTGATGGCTTTGTTGGTGGCCTTCACTTGCAACATCTTCCTACAGATATATGGGGGGCAGACAACACAGGCGAAGGACATCCTTCAACTTGTACTGGAGCTGGCCGTCTTCCCCACTGTCTGCTTTATTGTGCTCCTCTACCGTGGTGCCAATTTTGGTCCATCTTTTTTCCGTCGTGTTCGGAGTTGATTCAGTAAGCATTAATGTCGGGCATACTTCCTCGGCTTCGTGGACTGTGCCAGTTGAACTTTTGCGTGTGCGTGTGCGTGTGGCATTAAATTCTATAATTCCAGAATTGTACTCGTATTTATTAGGAGGCTCCGATGAATTAGACGTATTTTGACTTTTTCGATGTGAAATTTGAGTATGCTCAATATCTTGTGCTCTTGTTTGCAATCATAAAAATTCGTAACATATGCGCTGCTGTTCATATCATTAACAAGCAAGAAAAAAAATTTCATGACTCTGATTCAGATAATTTTTGTTCCAATACCACTTGTTAAGAAATAAAAGGAAAGAAACTAAAATGCCAAAAAAAAGAAAAAAAGCAGAGCAACGAGAAGAATTCTGTTTTTCTACGGTTTTTCTAAATGGGACTATACTAATCTCGGATCGACGAGGACCGCAGTGAGCGGTGTGATCGCGGGCTACGGTGGGCGTGGTAAGGCCAGCGGCATCGAATGCGAGGGTTGCGGAGGGGCGACGCTGGCTTTGTCGCGAGCCAGCGGTTGGCACGGGCACGCGGCAGCGCGGCGGTGTGCGCTGGAAGCGCAGGCGCGCGATGGGGCCACACGGTGAGGAATCCAGCGGCGGCCAGAAGCACTCACGGGAGTTGGACCGGTTCAGTGAGGAACTGGTCCGGTTGATTTAACCGAAGTGTGACTCAATTTTGAGTCCGTTCCCGCAAGACCAAATTAAAGCTATTTCTCGCTTTAATAAGGGTCGGTCGGATTTGTTCTGGAATTTAAAGCTTCAGCCGGCTTGAGACTATGCCCCAACTTGAAGCAAAGCTGCGCACGTACGTTTGTCGGTGGATGGACGGCAGGGGGTGCCATCCGATCTCCTACTTGGTGGATTGAATCTAGTGCGATTGAATCTAGTGCTTCAACTAATGTTACCAATAATACTAATATTATCAATAATACGTGGATTGATTTTAGTGCTTTAACTAATGTTACCAATAATATGCAGAGATTTTTTCTCAATCCGAAAATCAAAGAAACATAAGAGATTAATCATTATGAAAAATCGTCTTAAAGCGAACTTGATATTAGTAGAGATTTATCGTCTACGCTTAGAGACAGGTCATCTGATAGATCATGTTAACACATGTTATGTTTATACTATTTCTAGAAATTTAGTTTCTCTATCTAGAATTGATGAGTTAGGATATTATCTTTCTTTTGATAATGGTAAACTCAGTATATTTTATGATTCAATAAAAATTGGTTCTTGAATTCTGTGTGATGGTTTGTACTGAATTAATTTGGATCTTGAGTTTGTAAAGATATTATTGACCCTACAATCAAATGTTGGATTGAAACTTAATTTCAATAATGAAAGATCTTTTGTAGTAGAGACGATTGGGGCATATCTCCCAGAATTAAAAGATTAATGAAGGATAATATTTTGGAACATTTAGACTTTACTGATTTTGATGTTTGTATAGATTGCATTAAGGGAAGGCAAACTAAACATATAAAGAAAAAATGCGAACTCCATGGACCACTCCATATTCTTATTTTAGTGAATAAAGGTATTTCATCACATTTATAGATGACCTGTCCAGTTATGACTATGTTTATCTATTACATGAAAAGTCTCAAACCGTTGATACTCTTGAAGTATATATAAATGAGGTCGAGAGACAATTAGATAGAAAATTTAAAATTGTCAATAGGGGTAATGAATTTTATGACAAATATGATGGATTTAGTCAGAATATTGGTCCATTTGCTAGATTCCTAGAATAATGAGGTATTTGTGCTCAATGTACATTACCAGGTATGCCATAGCAGAATGATGTTGTTGAAAGACGAAATCGTACTCTTATGGATATGGTTAGGAGCATGATGAGTTTTTCCTCTATACCTGAGTCAATATGGGGTGAAGCTCTTAGGACAACTATGTATATCTTGAACAAGGATCCGAGTAAGTTAATTTCATCAACTCCATTTACGTAATGGACTAGTAAGAAGCTCAGTTTGAGATATTTACATATTTGGGGATGTCATGCAGAAATAAGATTATTCAATCCACATAAAAAGAAATTGGATTCAAAAACTATTTCAGGATATTTTATTAGTTATCTAGAAAAATCCTAGGGATACAGATTTTATTGCCCTAATCATAGTATGAGGATAGTAGAATTTAGTAATGTAAAATTCTAAAAAAATAGCGAAATCAGTGGGAGTGAAAAATCTGGAATGATCAATTTTGATATTGAGGATATTCATGTTAATTCTCTAATATCATCTTCTATTCGAGATATTGTTGTTCCTCGAATTAATGAAAGCATTGACGAGGGTGAACAACAAAATAATATAGAAGAACTCTCATATAATATTGATGTCACCGCTGATGATCTTATAGAACAATCACAATCGACAACTTTGAGAAGATATAAAAGAAAAAGAAAATATGATATTTCTGATGATTATGTGATACATCTACAAGAATCAAACTATGATATAAAAATAAAAATAGACCTCTTATCATTTTCAGAAGCCATAGAAAGTAACAATTCTGAAAAAAGGTATGATACAATAAACGAAGAGTCAAAATCAATGGTCCAGAATGGTATTTGGAAACTCATTAAATTACCCAAAACGTGACCCAGAGTCGGTTGTAAATGGGTCTTTAACATAAAACGTGACCCAACAGGCAATATCGAATGATACAAAGCCAGACTTGTGGCCAAAAGTTTTTCACAAAAAGAAGACATCGACTATAATAAGACTTTTTCTCTAGTTTCTAGAAATGACTCGTTGAGAATCGTCATGGCATTAGTAGCTCATTATGATCTTAAGTTACATCAGATGGATGTGAAAATAGCATTTTTGAACGAGAATCTAGATGAGAAAATTTATATAGAATAATATGAAGGATTCATAGAAAAGGGAAAAGAAAGTTGGGCTTGTAAACTTAAGAAATCAATTTATAGTCTTAAATAAATTTCTAAACAATGGTATATAAAGTTTTATAATACCATTACTTCATTCGGATTTAAGATCAGTGCATATATACGAAGGTAAGTAGGAGCAAGTTTATTATATTGGTCTTATATGTGAATGATATTTTATTTGTCAGTAGTGATCTTGGTTTATTGCATGAAACCAAGATATTTCTCAACAAGAACTTTAAGATGGTTGATATGAATGAAGTAGCTTATGTTATTGCCATTGAGATATTCCGGGATATATCTCAAGGATTATTAGAATTGTCTCAGAAATGATATATTAATCGTATCTTGGAGAGATTTAATATGCAACTTTGCTCAGCCAATAATAAACCTATTACTAGAGGTGAAAAATTCAGTCAAAACCAGTGCCTGAAAAATAACTTAGAAAATAATCAAATGAAGAATATTCCTTATGGGTGCACAGTTAGAAGTCTATTATATGCTCAAACCTATATAAGATCAGATATCAGTTTTGCAATTGCAATGTTGGAAAGATACCAAAGCAACCCAAGAATGGAACATTGGAAAACTATAAAGAAAGTAATGAGATATCTGCAGGGGACGAAAGATTGTATGCTCACATACAGGAGATCGGATCAGCTTAACGTGACAGGATATTCAGATGCTTATTTTGTAAATTGTCTCGATAATAGGAAGTCCACTTCAGGATTTGTAATCATGTTAGTTGGTGGGGTAATTTCTTGGAAAAGTGGAAAGCAATCACTTATTACATCATCAATGATGGAAGCTGAATTTGTGACATGTTTTAAGGCCACAAATCAAGCTTTATGGTTGTCAAATTTCATCTCAAGACTTGGTGTGGTCGACTCAATTGTCAGGTCGCTAAAGATATTTTATGATAACACCGTAGCTGCTTTCTTCTCTAAGAATGATAAGAACTCTAGTGATTCTAAGCACATCGAGATAAAGTATTTAGTGGTTAGAGAAAGAGTCCAAAAACAACAAATGTCAATTGACAACTTAAGCACCATTATGATGATCGTTGATCTATTGACAAAAGCTTTACCATGTAAAATATTTAAAGAACATGTTCTTAGAATGAGGCTTGTGAGCAAGTCAAAAAAGATATGGTGGTGTATGTTTAGGTGGATACTATTATTGATATTTTTTTACTTAATTAAAATTATTTGTTTCTATTATCTTGTTTACGTTTATGTTTATGCATATTATAGTTGAATGTAATAACAAGATTGTCTTCACAAGATAAATTACAGGGGTCATTATGGACTATATTAGGAAAGACTAACGATGATGTGGTACATAGAAGGGAGTATGATATTGATGGTATACAATTGCTATGACTCGCATTGATATATTATTATTGTGTTTGTTGGACTTATTGGCTTGTTTTAAAATTTATGACCATGTATAAAATGTTTTTCAAAATAAATTATTTTTAAACAAATTTTATTTTATTTATTTTGATTTTGAATATCTTTTATATCTTATCAATTAATGGGCCAAGCGGAAGAAGAATGTTAGATTTTGTGGCTCTTTATAATCGGATAAGATATATATAATATAACTAATCATATTTATATTGGTTAATAGAAAAGAAGTCATCTTAATAAGATAACCTTGATGGGAGTAACTCTCTTAATAACTCATCTTAGACTCTCTACTCTCGATTATAAATAGACATGATATTTGAGGACTGAATACAAGAAGTAAAATAGATTTTATCTCAGTTAGGATTACAACTCTCGTTAATTATCAATCTAAGTGGTCATAGGAAGAGAGGAGAAGAATCTAATTCATTTTGTAGATTCATAGTGATTATCGCTTTGAGGAGGATGAACCACGGCATGCGCTGCGAGGAGGATGAACCACGGCATGTCGTGAACGTCAAACGCTTGTACTGGTTGTCCACTCTTATTCATGACCAGATGAAAAAGGAGCTTCTCGATGTGGCCACGAGCGAGCATTGCGACCGCCCAGTCAACCTCATGAACGAAACTGCTCCATATCGCCATCGCTCGTAGGAAGACTGACTTGGGCTAGCGATCCATATCATTACCGTGTTACCAGAGGACGAGCTTGGCATCCCTAATTACAACGGCGACACACTCTTCATGTCGCTGCCGCCGTGAGTGATTATTATGTCGGAATGTTTTTGTTTTTGACATAGAACGATCCCACTCATCGTAAACATTAATTGGTCCTCTTTTTGATGTGATTATTATGTCATTGATCGACCAAAGAAGGTAATGATCAATTTAGTCGAACAACACACGACTTCTTTAAGTTAAGAATCGATGACAACAGAAAACTGGCAATTTACCAATAATTGGACCTTTCAAATCAACCTGGAGAAGAGGGAAGTTTCTCCGAACATTCTCAGAGATCTGAGGCCAAATGTTCTTTGGCCAGACTGACAAAAAGTTCAACAAGTCACGACAAGAAACACTGATTAAAAAGATTCAATCTTTAATTCTCCTTAACATTCCACTACCTTGCACTTTAGTCCTGCTCAAATGAGGCGTGTCTTCAATGCCTAGTTGCAGCAGACGCTTGCAAGGCGCAGAACTCCTTGATCTTCGGGGCAAAAGAATCACCAAAGTAATCGCTGCCGAAGACTTTGGCAAAACATGGCTCGCCCATCCTTTGCACAGCTCCGCAGCACCGTGGACTCAGGTTACTTGTGCCCGTGGACTTAGAACGGAAGACGGAACGAGCGCATCCGCCAACGTAGCGTAGGGAGGACAAGCATGCTTCGACCTCCGGGTCGTGAGACACCGGCGACGGCACCATCCACCCATGCCCAAGACACAGCCACCGTGCTTCTCCGACGCACGGGTACAAGCTTAGGGTGCCAGGGATCTCCGGGGCTTCCGACGGTGAGGACCAAACCGCCATGCTCCCGAGGAGCAGTAGCAGCAGTGGCAGAAGGTGTTCTTGCAGTTTCTTCATGCTGCTACCAATCGCAGTAGTAGTTGGTGGTGAAGATATACATACCATCAACAGAGGAGATGGATCTTTAGATGACGTTACTTGTCTTCATCTCATAGGCTGCATTAAATTTCTCTCTTAAATTTCGTTTACGTTAATTGGAATACACTGATTTATGGTTTTACCTATGCAGCCAGATGGATTCAACTGTTTCTTTTCAACATTTTAATGCAACGTGAGTGACTTTTCCTAAAACAATTAATTTTGAGAATTGCTTGATTACTGTAAAGCATTGATTTGTTGGGGTCTTCTGATGTTATTGTGGGTGCAATGCATTATGCAGTTTCCCCAAGAATCCGACGTCTGGAGGAGATAAAGAGAACCCACAGAGACGCGCTGCAACTTTTGTAGTCCACAAAGAAGAATACGTGGATTTCGCCCGGGGAACCAATACAGGCGGCGGCCACACACATACGACTGATGACATCGGCAAGTTTTAGCAGGAATTGAACGCCCACCAGAAGCCGTGGTGAACGACACCGAGAAAGAAGAGAGCGACGAGATCAGCTGGTCATTACGTTTGCGGAAAAGCTTTTCGAATTTGCATACCGCAACGATGACAAAATCACAGCGGAGGAGCTGCGTAAGTGTATGCAGGACGCCATGGGGCACTTTCAGCTGACTCTGCTTGACGATGGGACGAACCGCGCTGGTTCTTGGGCGAGATGACTCTGAGGCACAATACTATTTTATTAAGAGAAAAAGTAGATTAAGTATCTATAAAGATGACTATGAGAGAGAATCTTATTTCATTGTATTGTATCAAAAAGAGAGATTCATAAGTAAAATATCTATAAAAGGGTAAACTAAATTGACTATTGATTCTCGAATAAGTTTCTTGAAAAAAAAAGAGATTTATTTTAAATATAGTTAATATAATATATCTATGAAGATTATATAAACTTCATATATTCGGTAACTTTTATCAACGATAAGAATGATTTTGATAAATTATTAATTGGATTTCTTTATACCACCCAAAAAGGTTTCTTTTCAGATGCATAATATATAAATGTTGACTACTTGAGATGAAGATTTATGAAATAAATAGCGAAGGTCGCAAGATGTCATGCTAAATAAGTTATTTTTTAAATTTGAATGGATAGATATTAATAAAAGAAGTAATCCTTTCAAATAGTATAATATAATTTTATAATTTATAATCGCTGGAAGATAAAAAAAGAAGAAGAAGCTATAAAAGAAGAAGATGATGAAACGAGCATTTATGTTTGTTCGATATGCTACCATCACTCGTTATCGTTTGTGATGACGAGAAGAAGGGACGAAGGAAAGATATTTACGTCTATTCATAGATAGATTTTTTTTTAAAATTTTAAAATAAGATGATAAAAAAAAAATGGCAGGTTTGGGAAGAAATTTAAAGTAACTTAAATTGAGACGCCTGTTCTTTATGTAAGCTTGACAAACACGAGTGAAAGACAAAGTGAAGTGTGTGCAGTTGTCCTTTTTCTTTTAGGATTTATTCAAAGACTGCAGCTTAATTTAACAAAAGCCATCGCATTTGCCTAATTTTGCTTTTGTATAGGGAACGAAAGAACAAAGACACGTTGGGGAGAATCGGCTTTTTGTACTTTAATACCGTCGGAAGAGTTACCTAACATAGCGATCTATGAAAGCTCGAGTAGAGAATCTGAAGCTATTACCCAATGAGAAGCAAAGCTACTCGATCAACTGGGAATGAGGAAGGTGGCGTCTGTCGGTCGATGGGGACCAACTTCATCACCTTGTCTCCTCCTCCCCGTAGCCATATATATTTAGTGGCCGGTGGGAACGTAGCGAAAGGAGCGGCTCCCTTCGACGTGTTATCGATATGGCGGCTCCTTCCAGCACCCAAAAGCCGACGCTTGCTACTGATGCAGGCACCGGATCAGGGACAAAAGGAGAGAAACAGCCGTCTGACTCCGGGAAATCGAAGCCTGCAGATGGCGAAGGTGATGGTGGATCAGAGGAGCCACCGCATGTCCTGAACGTGGCACGCTTCCGCCGACTGAACTCGCTCATCCACCGTGAGAACGTGGACGCGGACGAACTTCTGAATCTTGTGGGGGGGGATTACCGCGTGAACTTCATGAATGATCCCCTGCTCAGCTTCGTCATCGCCTGCAAGAAGCCCAAGCTCGCCGTCCGCCTCATGGCCAAAATATCATCAAATGACATTCTCAAGGCCAAAAACTTCATCGGCGACACGGCGCTTCACGTAGCTGCCGCCATGGACGACCAAGAAGTGGCCTCGGAGCTGATCCGCAGGGTGCCAGATCTCGTTCGTGTGCGGAACCGGAAGCAGGAGATACCGCTACATAAGGCGGCCCTGTACGGGCTGCAGGACATGTTCTGGCTGCTGGTGGCCAAGAACAGCTCACCGGAAGCCCGGACGGAGGACGGCGACAGAATGCTGCACTGTGCCATCATGGGCAATGCGCCGGGTAACTATCATTACATCCTCTTTCCCTTGTCCACGGTTCAACTTCAATTAACATCTCGGTACGCCTGCAGTACTCGCCTTGGAGATCGCAAAGACTTATCGAATTCAGATCGAATCCCGGAATGAGCACGCCCTCACTCCGCTGCAGCTGTTGGTGACCATTCCAGAGGCATTCCGAAGCCAAGTAGTTCTTGGGGCCCTCGACTCCTTCATCTACGAATGTGAGTGATACCCTCCTCTAATCCTTTTCCTGTACATACAGCAATAATTCTCATCTACGATGAGGCTAAAAAATCAATTAAAATGTGCATAAGAATATTCGTAGAGCTCTTTGGTTTTACATTTCAGGGATTCCCTTGGAAGAGGACTCGAGTAAAATGAACAAAAGGGATGAAGAGGTGGCACTCAACAGATCTGTATGTGGCTTATGCATGAATGACTTTTTACATGACATTGCTTCGATTCATGAGTACATCGGTTACGTTTAGCTCTCTGATTCGGTTCTCTCTGTGGCATGCACATGCAATCTCAAGAGCATTGGAGTAGCACAAGACGATAACTCGCCGAGGGCTTTTCGCTCAAAATTCCCATCAAACTACAGCACTCTCTTTGACCTGTTGGAGTTGATCAGCATCCCAGGTACTCGTTCAATCGTAAAGTGAAAGGTTCTTAATCTATCATTTTATGGTTATTAAATGTAGGATAGCATTGGTTTATGCATGCATTTTGTCCTGCAGCTGGCTGGATTCTGCGATTTGTTTATAACATTATAAGGCAATGTGAGTTAACAGTTCTTACACACCTATACTTTTCTTAGCAAATGATGAATCGCTTATAAAAATTAAAAATAATTTATGTTAGGTTTTTACGTTACATGATTAATGATAATTGAAATGCATGCACGGGTGCAGTGTCCCCGAGAGTCCAACGTCTGGAGGGGAAGAAGAAGAACCATACAGAAACAATGCACCTTATCGAATACTTGGCCAAAGAAGGATACTTCGAGTTCTTTGGGCGTGGAAAAGCTCCCATCCAAGGTAGTACATTTGCTTCACAAGAGCTTTACGGCCAATTTGGTATGCATGGTCCACCAAACACTCAACCGGAGACTGGACGAGAAGGTGATGCCCAAGAAAAGGACACGGAAGCCCCAGCTGCAGTGAAAGAGCTCATTAAGGGGATGACCGATAAGCTCTATAAATTAGTGTCGAAGGAATCGGAAACACCGGTCTCAATTGCAATCAAAGAGGCGGCTCAGAGTGTGGAGAAAGTGTTAAAGGCACTGTCACCTAGCTCGGAAGAGAGATGGAACGAACCACCCTTGATCTTAGCTGCACAAATGGGCCTTCATGATTTCGTCGGCAAGATCCTGCGAGTGTGCCCACAGTCAGCAACCTACCTGGACACGAAGGGCAGAAATGTTCTACAAGTCGCAGTCATGTATCGTTGCGAGGAGATTGTCAAGATCATAATGGACATGAGAACCATTTTACCATTCTGGTTATTTTCCAAAATCGACCCCAAAACCGGGAACACCATCCTGCATCTTGCTTCACGTGGAAGCCCTGATGTAGCAAAGAAAGATCAAGATGAACCGGATGCAATGCAACTGCATTACGATTTAGTATGGTTTGAGGTAAAGTGCTAAACTTTTTTGCCCTCCTCCAATTCTTTGACATGCATTCGGTATCGGTTGTGGGTTCTTCACGCATTAGACAAAATAACCAACAAATACTACTTTTGCCCTTCTCTCTTTGGTCCTTGTATCTTAGCGAGAACCAGGATCCAAAATGAGTAGATAGGAATCCAAATACTAATGGAATGACTTGACAAATAAATAATAAAATTATTTTATTAGTGAAATAAACCTCTCTCTCTCTCTCTCTCTCTCTCTCTCTCTCTCTCTCTCTCTCTCTCTCTCTCTCTCTCTCTTATGAGAATAGATTAGGACTCATCTAAATCCTAAACCTAGATAATTAAACTTTTTTCTTAACATCTCCTAAATCAATAAGACTCTTATATAGTTCCGATAATATTTCTTCCTTTGTTTCCTTACTGCTCCACACAATGCAACTCTTTAATTAATTAAGATGTGATTCTTATGGTGCTCTCTTGAGGATTAAAAACCAAACACGGTACTTATTGCATTGGCAGATACGAAGACGGACACATATGTATAAAATTTATTCCAAGAAAAGCTATGCTAACCATGTGATGGTAGCAGCAAAATTCGTGAAACGAATAGTGATCATCATAAAGTTGCATATTGATCAAGTTGATTCATTCATGTAGCATTTATACGCATGCAGATGGTGCAATCGAGTATTCCTAAAGAACTAGTGCATAGTCGAAATAAGAAAGGAAAGACAGCGCAAGAGCTCTTTACTTCGAACCACAAACAGATGCGTAAGAGTTGCAAGAAACAACTAGTGGGGATTGCAAAGACATGTACAAGCGCTGTGGCAGCTGTGGTCTTCGCCATGAGCTCCTCCTTCTCCCACACCGACGATCCAAAAACTGGCGATTCACGCATGTTCAAGGCCTTGTCATACACATACGTGATCGGGTTGTCATTCGCGGCTACATCTCTGTTCCTGTTGCTGTCCCTCGTCAATTCATCGTACAAGGAGCAGAAGTTCCGCCGTGCCATCCCAACCAAGTTCTTCTTAGCCCGCCTCACATATAACATGGCGTTGGGGACTCTGTTGCTGGCCTTCACATTCAACACTTTCCTGCAGATATATGGCGTGGAGGGAGCAAAGGAAAAGCAGGAGATCACATTCATGCTGGAGATCATCGTCTGTCCAGTTCTCACTTGCCTCCTCCTCTTCTTTCCTGACGCCATATTTGGTACATTTCGTCGTTTTATTTAAAGTGTCTATAAGCATGCATCATCCCTCCACATCTATCGAACAGCCAGCCCTACATAATAATTTCAAGTGTTCTTCCGATCTGCATTGTTGCGCGTGCTTTCGCTAGATTTGCGAGTTCTAGCAATTCAATAATCATAGATACGTTTATGTACCAGCAGTTCTGAGTGGACAAAACTGGATGTCAATGTGTTACGAGTATGCATGTGAAATTTTATAGTCGATATCTGACTTTTCAGTTGTCATGGCTTGAATATTCAGATATTACACTATGCTTATGACTTTATTACAGTATAATTTTGGTGAACTATTTTAGAATACAATACGTTGACGCTATATTCTGAAAAAAAAACAAATTAATTGTTTTAACTTGTTTGTTATTTTTATTTTTATGATGTCTTATGTTGACCAAAATATAACCATCAACCAATGTGTTTAAGCTCACCTGCGCCACCAACTTTTTCGTTAGGCTCAATGTGTACAAAGCAGAGGTTCACTCGAAGCATTCATATCGGATAACCAGTGATGCTATTCTTCTGCCCAACCTCGAGAAATTGTCACGGGGGTGTATTTGCACTACTCGCATCTGCTTTCCCTGCGACACATCATTGACCATCTATTGAAGGATTATGGCCACTTCCTCTTCGGATATAGCCAAACAATTATATCGAATGACAACATTGCGACATACATGAAGGATTGTCTATTTAGTACGTATGTTTGTACCTGATATGGTTGCTTAATCATGTTGAATCCCTATTATTCGTCATAAAATGAAATCCCATTACATCTCGGAATTCACCGGTTCCGAGGCAGCGGTTACAATGGCCAAGTCCACTTCCGCCACAGACCTTGCACCTGCGGCAGGTCAATGGTTTTTCGGCACCAGCTCATCAGATGTAACATGCCTGAAGCAAACCGTGTACAAACGTATTAACTAGGTGACTCACCATTTAGGCCATTCTCCTTTAGGGAGCATGATCAGGTCCAGGCAGTTCGTCCTGCCTGCATAAATCAAGTCTTAGCATGAGAAATGAACGAAAAAGATGGGTCAAAATCTGTTCTACTTATGCAAGTATAGCATGGAAGAAATATTTGAGAGACCTCTTCCTCGGCAATAGTGGCAATCAATTCTCCCACTACCATCACAGACCACACACGGCGGATCTGGTCTCTTCATTTTCTCTCTCCTAACATTTGACTGCAAGAAGGTAAAACACAAAACTTGTTATATACGCATTGGACTTGATATCTTCAAAGAATTGTTGCAAGAAGACAAAAGTAATCCAGAATTTGGGTCTAAATTTAACTTCACTGCCTGTTCATTTCTCCAATATAGATCTCAAATCTGTTTCAAGGCTTGAATATGTCATTGGATACTACTATCCTAACGTTGCGATCCTTCAAATACCATAGCTCATGCTTTCCAAAACTAAGATGTCTGTCAGGCTCACTCCATATTGAGCCAACTACCACAAACACAATAACATGAACAGAAGAGAGAGAAAAAAAGTCTTCTTTTGAAGGGTAGACGACTAGATGCATTATTTGATAGAAACCAAAAACTTTATGGTGAGTATCTGCCACATCTAACCCAGAGAAAACAACTACAAGAGTTGCTTTAACCCCGTTATATGTAACCAAATTTGGAACCCCATTCTTCTTCAAGGTTGACATCAAAAAATCTAACAAATAAAATAATGTGATAGGAAACCCAGGAAAAAACTCTTCAAAAGAAACCAAGATTGTTGTGCCAATCACCACATGTCAGCACATTGGAAAGGATCATGCCAAAGAGATCCACATTTTCCAAATTAGACCATCCCAAAGTTGCTGATATATAACAGTAATTTTTTTACTAGTGTCAACGGGCATAGAGGCATGTAGACCAGCAAGACACAGACTCATGCAATAAAAGAAAAAGTACCCACTTATGCCCCCATGCTAAAATATAGTGATTCTTGCAAGAGATACTCAGAAGTCACTAAAGATGGCAGCATATCATATTTTTCCAGGTACCATCTTCTGTGCGACCCCACTTAAACTGCGTTTGGATACCCTTTAATGGGTATGGGTAGGTTCGGATAGCAAAGTAAATATTAATCCAGGTTTCTGATGAGTATAGGTTTTAATCATTGAGTACCCACTACCTGAATCCAAATGGGGGTTTAGTAGATTTTTCACCTCATATTACTCAACACAACCTTCCCAATGCCTTAACCCTATCCCTCTTCTCGCTTAACCCAAAGCATATGATTTTTTTTACTTGTTGGATTATGCTACACATTGGTCTTTGTTTGTCAATATATTAGTTGATAAGCACTTGACTGGATAGGTATATTGCCAACAAAAGGTCAGGTTTTACAGGGACCCCTTGCTCCTTTTTGGGCACCCACCAGCTTAACCTTCTTGGTTTAAGCAGGTCAGGTTTCTCCAGGATGTTCACACCTTTCTAACCAGCTTTAATCGAGTTTGACTTCTCGTTACCTAGTTTGGGATGGGTCAGGTAGGAAAGTGGGTGCCTGAATCCAAATGGAATAGGTTCAAGTGATAGAGTCGGTAGTTGATTAGAGAGCACAATGAAAGTTCATGAGTACCCGACCCATTGCCATCCCCATGGGTCGTTAGTCATGGTCTATCAAATTAACCAATTTTTCCTATTGATATAATTGGAATAAAAAGTGTTCGCAACACTGGTTATAATAAGACAAGTTTCAAGTAAGACAACTATCATATTTAATGCATAGTTTCACATAATCAATAACTGGCATAAAGTGAAATATTAACAAATACATGTTTAACATCTATCATTCCTTCATGTCCCTTCGACCTCATAGTAAAGCTTTTTAATTCCTCTTTTGCAAATAAAAAACAAAAATCCTTCATGTCAAATTCTTATAAAGATAAAGGTCACAAATGTCTTCATTTGACTTCCTTATGCGTCTAGTTGTGGTCTTGTTTGTTCTTTATGTACCTTGAATAACAATTTTATCTAAATCAGGAATGAATTATACCAGATAAACATACATGTAAACAGTTTGACATGATCTTAATACTCAGCCCAATCATATCAACATGCTTACATGATATAATATGTTGATTACAAATTGGATCTGAAACTAGTGGATAACTAACCTGACTAGTGGAATGGAGGATAATCAAATAATAAATTTATTTTCCTCATGAAAGACAATAAAATTTTGAATAGAGTCAAAGCATTGGAGGATGATTTTTCATGCTTTTCTTTGACACAGAGCATCATTCAGATCAGAACTATTTGAAACAAATAGGATGCAAGGAACTCATGGTTAAAGACTGATCATGTTCAGAACTTAACGATCTGTTGGTGATCCCTTGAAAATATACGTAAGATTCCAGTAAGAGGTCCGAATAAATTGCAGCAGATTGTTCAGTTTTCTTCTAAATTGAAAGGCAGGCGCAATTGGATGTGGTAAAAGAAGCAAAGAGTTTAGGATTCTAAGTTTATAATCAATGCCAAAAATCTAAGAAAGGCATTGTTTTTCCTTTTTCCTTTTTACTCTTTTTTTATTATGTTGTATGCAGATGTTAAAAAATTTGAAGCTTACATATTTTGTGAAAATCCCAAAAAAGCTCATATATTAAGTTCTGTGTATTGTTCATCTTTTATTGATTATCTTTTTTTTCACTTGGTTTGCCTGTAAACAAATCCATGTTTTTCTATCTTTATCTAATCAGATAATAATTGTTATAAAATTTTAAAGCAACATGGTTACATAATTTGTAATGAGTGGTATTTAACTTGTTGAGAAGGGGGATCTATACTCTGAAAAAGGTTTAATGTGGGTCAAAGTGTCATTTGTCACGAAAATTTGTGATGAATAATTTACTCATCAAACAGTTATTTTATAAGTGATAATCTGTTATAAGTAGTATGAAGTTAACAAGTTTGTGCTATTAATCCACATCTCCTAAGTGGGGTAAAAATTCATACTATACAACATTGTTATGCATATACAAACATCAGTAAAAAATGATAGAAACATGATAAAAATGGACAGCATAAACATAGGGACATCACAAACACTCCCAGCAAAAAGGAGTGTAAAATTGTTGATTTTTCAAATCATTGTAGTAAGCTACAATTAATGGAACTAACCAAATTACCCAGAATCATATCATTGTTAAACTAATTTGCAGGTTTTGTGATTTGTTCAGTTGTGAAGGGATAGAAATAGTAACGATAGCAATCCAAAATCTTATCGTTAGATTTTTGCCCTAGTAATCATCACATCTATGAGGTGTTCAAATTCAACTCAAAATGGTCCAGATTTACATCAGAGATTCTCTAATTGCTATCTAATTTTATGAACATCAGGATTCAGCAGTTCTATTATGCCACAAAACTAAAAATCGTAATGACTTCTATAATCATTCAAGGCACAACACGCCCAACGCATACACGAGTATCGTTAGACAGAGGACTAATGAGGCCATAACCATGTAAACCACACGAGAGAATAGAAATCAAACCATGAAAGTGTCCTTACACAATTCTCCTGATCGAATATCACTACTCACCTCGCTGTAAAAACCAGAACCCTAGAGGTGTCACCTCGTTTTAGATCCGTAAAGATTCTCCTTTTACGTACTAAAAGCAAATCTCGACGAGAACACCACAGAATAAAGGCACGAATGGTTTAGGAAAAAGGAAAGGTGTCGCCCTGGCGATTTACCTCCGTTCGGACGATCCAGGAAGGCTTGGAGACGGCCAGCCGCGAGGAGCCGTTTTCATAGCGTGGGAGGAAGACGCTCGACGAGGCGACGGAATCTCCCGGGGGCACCGGGAGGGCGGCGACGAAAGCTGTCATCGATGCGCCGTCCGATGCGCCGAGGCACGATATGGAGTGCATAAATGAGGCGGCGGAGTCGACTGATGGAAGATAAGCGTCGTCTTTATTTTTCTTAGTGGTAGACCTTTTTTATTTATCCATCAATTATACCCAAAGAGTTAGCAATTTGTACGAAGAAAAATAAAACAGAAAGTGGATTAATTTGATCAAATTCTTTTATCCTCAGATTCTGTGTAGTGTTTCTGATTAGATTTACTAATCATATAAATTGATAGGGGTGATGATGGTTTGGTCCAAATAAAAATAAATCGATCCAAAATTAAAATCGAATTGGGTCAATGATTCAAGACATGTCCTAAGAGGGTCATCTTTGCTGGTATGTATGCACTTTGTAGCAATACACTGCTTGCAGAAAGCTGGCAAATAACATAATTCTTGAAGGGAGAGGCCAAAAGGATAAAGCAGAGTCACACAAATGAGGACCCAATGTCTTGGTTTAACAACAGCAGACTTCTATTCACAGCCACAATCCCCATTATGCTCTCATGAGATGATGAATTAAGCCCCGTAGCCACCGATTAGGCCGAGCCCATCAGCTCCGGCGGCCGAGTCAGCCACAGGAGTGGGGATCAGTAGAGGGGGTGGAGGGAGGGATGGCGCAGATGCCCTGCCGGTGGAGCTCCGCGAGCACCACCTCGGCGGATGGTGATTTGAGGCCTAGGGGAAGGGGGAGCCATGGCTTGCTCATCACATCTTTTATGGAACGATCGATCGCCTCTTCCACCTGCCATTCGAATCACAAGATGCAGAGAAGAGAAGAGAAGACACATCTGTAGTGCTTCGTAGCACAGGATAACTAGTATTAACATGTGTGTGGAGGAATGCAATGTACATTGTACTTTAATGTGTTTGACAGATCAATGCAAATAGGCTGCATGAACTTGTTCATCAAAAGAAAAATATTGCATGTGCTTGTCTTGCTTAGTGATCAATAAATACCATGATCTTGACTAGAGATAACCTAATCAAGACACAATAGAAAGGACTTGCTAAATGTGCTCCTTTGTTCTCAGCAAGTTGTTCATCCTAATTAGAGATATCCATGCATAAAAATTCTAATGCTTGAACATTTACTCACTCATCCAAGTATCAGATCAGGTATTGCTCATTCAAACTATGCGTGCAGTATCGAAATTCCAAGTAAAATATAAGCTGAAGTAAAGAAGATCGCTTTGCTTATTTCTAATTACGACATAGTTCTACTTGATTATTCATTGATGTTTTCATCTTCTTGAGCCAATATACAGTACTTGATAAATACAGAGGTGGGCAAAAGTAAAACTTAGTTTAAGAGGTTAATGGTGTGGTGTTTTTACCTGATGCAGATCATAGGATTCTTGAAACATCTCATTGCTGTCTCCGCTCGTATCAAAATCGCTATACATCAGGGATCTCTGCAGCTGTGCAATCTAACACAATTCAGGTACAATTTAAACTCACAATTACATGTAAGGTAATCTAATCAAAGTGACTGACTCACTGGTGAAGACATCGGATACTGGCCATATTGGGTGACAAAAACAGGACAGCCCCATGCATCAGCATGAACCTGAAACATGGCAATAGGCAACATTTCTCATTGCTATGCAGTATATTAGTAAATGCATGTAAAAGAGACACATGATATTAGCCTAGTCAACACATTTAAAGGCATGTATGTCACACTCAGCTGTTCACAATATTTTCATCTTTTTTTTAGGTCAGAAAGGACTAGAACATATCATAGTAACATCATTAGTATATTAGTTAGAAGAGAACTATTACCACAGGATAGGTCTTCCAGGGCCAACTTTGAGGAGGTGGATGCCATCTTGTATAACCAGCTTGACCGACACCATGGGTGTGGTAATTTGGATGAACCCAAAAGGGATAAATCTGATTTGTCGGAGCACCACAATCGGTATGATACGGAGGGTAGGCCAAAATTGGCCTTGGTATGTAGCCCCTTTGAGTAGGATCTTTATCTGCTTGCCATCTCCTATCTTCATCTTTTGGCAAAACATGTCTTCTATGCATCCGATACTTCTGCAAGACATATTGTTGTCAGTGTGGAACTGGTTACTAATGCATGAAGAGCAGGAAGAAAAGAGTTCTGCCACATAAAATTTAAGATTGTCTTTTAATTGCTTGAGGTAGCAATGCAATCACAGTGACTGCAATAAGGCTAAGATGCCTACATTTGCTAGATGATTTTTTAAAATGTTTCTCTCATACTTGATTGGTCTGCTTAATCATTATGGTCTGCAGAATTTGGTATGATATATCATTCATTTAGATCCTCAAGGTTGCAGATCCACTTGCTCTAAGCATCAACAAATTAACGACTGATTCATGCTTAACCCAGTTTCCGTAATGTGCAATCACATCATAAGTTATTCACAATTATCGATGAGAGTATGACTAATCCTAAAATTCATGCAATCATCTGTGCACCAGGAATACTCCAGTCATATTTTTAACTAGCCAACATCGAAAATGTGGAAATTCATTTGAAGGTATAACCTAGTCTCCTCAAAAGTGAATGTTTTGTGTGAACCTGCAAGTGGCTAGCAACATTATGTCTTGTTAGACCCTCCACCTTCATCAGTTCGACAATCTTGGAGGGAATTGCCTGATCTATTCCCAGCTGTTCTACTACCTGAACAAACTGCCTATGAAGTTCCGGAGTCCAGTCTACCTGCAATACCGAGAAATTTAAACACTACAATCATGTCCACTGCCATGAAAAAAATATGAAACTCAGAAACAAGGCACTCAAATCTGAACTCAAAAAATGTGCAGCCATTTGATGTTTGATGACATTGCTGCAAGAATTTATAAAGTAATACCTTCATTTTCTTTCTGTTGTTTCTGGCACCATCTGAATAGGACAATCTGTTTTTCTGTAGATCATCCACGCTATGAAAATGAGAAGGTAGAAAACGTTCTTTAACAGCACTGCACTCATCAGTTTTAGAACCATCGATCGAATTCACTTCTTCTTCGGCTTCAGCTTTAGAAGGCAAGACATCCTTATTGTTAGCAATGCTAACTGAATTATCACATGTATTACCGACAGATTTTGACACTGAGCTACTGTGCTTCCCTGGTTGTGGCAATTCTTTAGCAATTGAGCAGTGTGTTATTTCCTGAAACTCTCCATTTGTCGGAAACCTTCCTCCTTGTTCCAGTTGTGGAGTTGATGGTGCTGAGAACCTGTCATTTTCCATTGTTTTCTCACAACCATATTTGTCATCTTTTTCTGATTCTTTTTCTTTAATTTTGTGCTCATCTGTTTCTGACTGTTTTTGGAGCATGGAAACCACGGTGTCCTTAATAGGCTTCAGTGATTTGGATAATTCATTGCCCCCTGCATTGAAGGCCTGTTCTAGACAAATTAACTTGTTATTCTCTAAAACAGTGCTGTTAATTATAGGTACTTCATGAGATCCAAGGGCACCTTTTGAACCACATGTTGCCATATGTTCCTGAGCTTGTCTTCAGAGACTGGCTTCTGAAGAAACTCTGCTGCACCAAGCTGCACAATATGGCATAGATGTCATGAGAAAGATGAAGAAGAAAATTTTTTACCATGTTGAATGTAAGAATATAAGCATAGAAAATAAATAGTGACATATATGCATGCTATAGTATGTGAGGGATGAAACAAATTAGGTCATGGTTATACAATCCATGAAATTTGTTGAACTCACCGCTATGCATTTCATCATGGTGCTTAGGCAGTGTACATCTGAAATAACTGCAACAGATAAGACATCATCAAAATCCTCATTGTCAATGGAGAAATGCACTGCTCCTATCTTAGAGTTTCGACTTATCGGAACAAACAACTTATTTCAAGTTAATTAATCCGACATGAACTTTAACCAATTTCACTCGGATGTAATGTGATCAGAACCTAATTTCAGATAATCATCGAAAAGTAAACACAGGAGTGCATATAAAAAAGCAGAAATCAATTATATGTTTAGGAGAGAACAGGTCTTTGTTGTTTCCAGAAAAGTGTAAAACCAAGTGCATACTCAACTCTGGTGTACTGGCAAATAGTAATTGCAGAAGCAGCAAGTAGAAGAGTTTGCGGCTTTACTAACCAATGGTAGGAATGTCTTTAGCCATCTCAAGAAACCTGAAACTCCCACAGTTATCACTAGTTGTCACCTGCAAAAGTTGGCTTTTGTGAAACCTAATTATCTTCTGTAGTAAAATTTGCGGTAAGAGTAGTCAAAGTTATCACCTCCACAATAGCAACATGAAAGCTCTCAGCCTCCTTTGAAATTGCTTCCAGTGCATCTTCCTCATTATGATACAAAGAAACTACAAAGAACCGAAAAATGCTTAGTATGCTGTAATAATCCACCTATGCAGAGATCAATCAATCACTCAAGCATAATGCAATTCTGGATTACATGTAAGATGACAGATGAGAAGAGAAATAGCAGCCTGAGATACTAAAATAAGCTCTGAGAAGTACCAACGTAGTCCATTTCTTCGAGTTTCGACTTCGTTTCGACAGCGGATGGCGCATCTTTGTCGAGGAGGAGAATCTTGAGACCCCTGGGGAAATCCTTCCACACAACAAAACCATCAGCAGAGCCGGCCATGGCTGGCTTCACATCATTCCTCAACCCCCAAATCTTCGAAAAGCTAGCACACAACACGACCATCCTCCACATGACTGAGATGCTACCACTGCTCTTGAATCCATAACAGGAAAATAGGCACAGCTCAGTAATTGCTCAAGGCCAAAAGGAACAGATGCTTAAAACTCTCTAGAGAGTTCAAGGATCGAGATTCTCCAAACCAAACGCAAACACCGGAAGGATGAATTGTAAAGAAAGAAAAAGATGAAACAACTGTGCAAGAGCAATTCGACAACTGTTGCAGCAAGGATTAAGTGCTTGTCTTGAGCCTGACAACAAAAATTCCCTCAATTTGTGGAAGAATCCATATACAACTACTTAGGAACACCACTAGTACTCCTCCAATCAGGGTCTCGTCACAAGGCCCTTTTGGGGGAGAAAACCAATTCCCAGTCCGTCAAAGAACGAAGTGACCAACAAAATGCAAGATTACTCGTGCCAGATATGGGAGCCGAGAGCAAGGTAGAATCACAGGGAATCACAGGTCGGGCTCATCCTGTAACAGATCAAAGCCTCTACAGTTGTACAGGAGAAAGAAGACTCAGTGCATGATGATATATAGAGTACACTTCGAGAACCAATCCTACATGCTCGACCGATCTCTTTATACCTGACGGAGTAGCACAATAAAAAGACGGGAGCTGTCGTAAGAGGAGACGAGACAGGAAATCCGTCTTCTTTCTCCCATCTCTCTCTCTCTCTCTCTCTCTCCTCTCTCTCTCTCTCTTCCTCAGCTTTTTGGCCGCCGTGAGAGTGTGTGTGTTGTGTGTGCGCGCAGGTGTTGCCGGTTGATTTGAGCCATAGGTAATTTACTATGCATTAACGACCTTTTTAATGGCATCCAAATCGCCAAAATTGAATCCATGAGCTAATTCGTCACCTACCGAATTAACTTCGTCGTACAATTAATGGCTGCCTCACATGCCACAAATTACCCAAAAAGGAAGAACATCGAAGGATTAGTGAAAACTGGCCCCTTCTGCGCTACATTTTTGGTCTGTTTCTTCCCGACACGACTCATTCTTTAGATTTCTGTTCTATATGGTTTGACGCATTTACTCACAGTCAAAAAGCTTTCGAGACAAGAAGCCAAAAGTAGTTGCTGACACACTCACCCTCAACTCTGTTGGATGAATCATAGATTCTGAGGACTCGTAGAACGAACTCAGAGTAACCATCCTTAAATGGTGGAATCAAAATGTGTGTGTGTGTGTGATACATGAGTTAAAGAATTGGGAACAATATTTGGGATATATGAGTTGGATTCGATCGTATCTTAAATGTTCTCTTGAAAGGTTAAGCCCCGTTGACATCATCCATGAATAGTTGCTACAATGTCGGCTTCGGCGTTTCATGGCACACATAATTCTAAGATAATTGCTGACCGTGTAACAATTTTGAGAACGTATCAAAGGTTGGTAAGATGATCGATTAACAATCAATGATATGTGTGTAGATAGAGGAGAATAGGATGAGTTCATGGTGAGTGGTGTGCCACGTGAACAACAAGTGGGTGGTGGGTCCAATGGGCCCATCCAGTTGCCACTTGACGGCCACTTCACGAGAGATCGTCGGGTCGTCAATGGACTCACGAGCTCTATTTAGCAATGGGTTCATCTTTTGCCAACACCTATTCATTATAATCTCTTTTTCTCAAGGAAACTAATGATCAGAAATATAAGCACAAAAAAAAAACATTGTATTTTTTATGATAAAGAGATAGAAAGTATAAAAAAAAAAAGAAAGATAATAACTGAAATATAATAAAATAAAAATAAAATTTAACTTATAAACTAATTGTTCCTTCAAGCACAACATTGTGGAAAGATGTGAAACAAGAAAGAGTGATGGCTGAACTGAGACGATGAGTATGGAGAGACTTTTCCTGCAGAAGAGTGGAGAGACTCCTATTTCTCCCAATCATCCACCTCAGGGTCGAGAGGAGCTTCCTTGAAGCCTATCCACAATCATACACGCAAAGTTCCCATGTCCATTAGAGGCCACAAGTTTGGGCATGTTGTGTGCACTTAGGTCGTGGTTGGGCTCTCATCGTCAAATCTGACGGCATGACAGTGTAGGCAGAGACTGTGCTCGGTCAAGAACAAGAGGTGGAGATAAGCTTCCCTCTCCTGAAAGTGAAGCTCTACCATGTCGTGGGGTCTATGTTGTGGTCAGATTTGGCAACATCCTTGGCCTCTGGAGAGGTCTGTGATGTTCATGTAGTTGACTGCAAGCAGAGAAACTGGCAGTGTATCAAGAGGATTTCCATTTGCTATGCTGGCAGCTGATGTTGAGGATGCACTGGTAGTCCTTGAAATTTTTGGTCACTCAAAAGGATGAATGTAGTGGCCTTTCCTTTGGAATCAATCTCAGGATGCAGGCATTGCTCTCCTTCCTTTGGTTTCTCTATAATGTCATGGCGGCTTGCAAACTTATACCGATGCTTAATTCCCGTGTTATTGAGTATCGACTAGCAGAAGAATCTCTATGTTCCTAAGCTGGTGGTGGAATCGGAAGTTGCAAAGGATATATAGAAGTTTTGGAGTGAACATTGATAGTTGAGTTGATGCTGACCAGCTCGATTTGGAATAGATCCAATCTACGCACGAAGCCTCGAAGACACACGTAAAGAGATAGAGAGTTACCACCTCGATTATCACATCCAGCTCTATCTTTTGTAAGGTGCTTCCCTTAGCCACTCGTTATTAGGAGAATGTGTTTTGGGTAATAGAAAATATTTTTTATTTAAATTTTACTAATATGGTGAGAGGGTGGTTAGAATTTTTTTCATTCTTTTGTATGAATATTCCTCTTATCACAAATGATATATATTTTTCTACCGGGATCAATCGAGAAGACGAATTTTAGTTCTTATACCTACAAAATCTTTACCAATTATACCTTTTAAAAAAATCATATTTTTTATGAGAGTGATTTGGTGTTACGATATCTAATATTTTTTAATATTTTTTTTTAATTAGCCTTTTTTAAAAAAAATTATCACAAAATATCTCTATTTTGAACAATTACAAAACAATACATAGTGCAAAAAGATCATGTTATCCCTCCCTCTCTCTCCTTCCTTCATTGCTTCCCTATCATCGACCTCTTTCCTTGCTCACTTATAGTCAATAGCACACCCTCTTCCTTCTTGACGATAAGTAGAGGGAGTAGATCTGTGAGTAAAAGGCTTCTCGCATGAGGTTACGAGTGGCTCTTCAAGGCAAAGGCATGATCAGGTGACAATGGAGGGTGATGGCAAACTAATTACATATTACCTCTTATAGTTAGTCATTTTTAGCATTTCGGTCTCTATGCTTTAAAAAGTTACATTGGCATCGATATAATTATAAAAGTGAAATATCTATATTCATTTATCCTTTAGTTTTATTAAAGAAAATATGAAAACAAATGGTAAAATGGTACCCTCTCCCTCGTTGTCTCCTTTGCCCTATCCACCTCCTCTCCCCCTCCCCTCACGATTGCCTCCACCCTATTCATCTCCTCTTCACCTCGTGCTAACCCCTTAAGGAGGTGGATGGAGTGGAGACGTCTACGAGGGCTCTAGTCGATAACGATAGCATCGATAGCGAGAGCGGTGAGTGCGAGGGGGGGAGGAGGCAATGTGTTAGGCGATAATAAGGAGATGAGGCAGAGGGTGATAGCTACGTCAGTGTCGCCACCAGTGGTGTTATCGTCCGCCGCCATCAAAATATTAAATTTATTCTTTTTATTCTTTATTTTCATATTTTCGTCAATAAAACTAACATCGTTAGGATAAATGAACTTAGATGTTTCACTTACGTCACTAAATGTGACTAATTACATGAGTAATATATAATTAGCTTGATGATGGTCAACATAAATAAAATGATTATTTTGAAAAAAATATTAGTTTAAAATTTTTCAAAATAGGGGTGCTTTACAAAAAATTTAAAAAAGGAAAGACCTTTTTCAAAAATTTACCCAAATATTTATATAGTGATCTCCTCGGATTTGGTTTCCCAGCCGTAGCCAATGGAAACAGCTGGTCATACTTCTTTCCATATATTATAAAGGAAGAGATGAGGAAGATAAAAAAAAGATTTTCTTATAAAATACCCTTTAGGTATTTCCTAAAAGATACACCCTCTTTCATTTAAAACAAAAACCCAAAATATTCCTCAAAAGTCTTCCCATCAATTTTTTTTGCTCCTTTTTTTATCGGTTTTCAACTATTGTAGTGTGTTTACTTAGCTCATTTATAGTATTTTTAATAGCATTTATAATGTTTTATTAGTATATTAACAATTAAAAATTATTGTAAGTGACATCATATTATTTTACTTTTATTATCATCGATCATTATAATATTATATTTTAAGACTTATAGTTAATTTGACTAATGTTAGGAATCTATTTAGATAATTTATGGTGTTTTCAAATAGGCTTTATAGTATTTTTATCATGAGAGTCAAAATACTGTAACAAGTGAAATTTTTTTTTACAGATTAGTTTGGGTATTTTTTAATTAAGATATTATTTAAAAATAATAAAATGAGAATACCAATGAAGAAATATATAAAATATAAATATTTTCCAAAAATACCAAAAAAGGCTCAATTCTTGTAACAATATTTTAAGTACATATGATATTCGAAGGCACCGAAATTATCGCAATTGTCGCTTTGAATTATGTGACAGATCTATCAAGCGCTCCAAAAATAGAATAAAATAATATACCATGATTTTAGATGCAGTACAACCTCCGTGCAGAAAAGAAACAACATTCCCAATATATATTATATATATATACGTATGTATATATATAAGAAATAAAATTTGCAGTAATGAAAACATAAGGATCCAAAATCAGTCAGGAAGTAACAGCATAATTGGTGAAAAAGATAACTCGGCGACCATAAATCTTTTGAGTCCTCCGATAGAGAGCAAAAATGGTCTAACACCTAAAAACAACGACGTCCCAGAAATACGGCCCCATTGATCAGGTCCAACTTTTACCCGATAAAAGAAAATCTCAGATATATTCTTCAAAACATAAAATTCTCCGAATAAAAATAATAATACTTGACCACCTTTCTTCTAAAAATACTAACATATTTGATGAGGGTAATAATGACGATAAGACTCGGGTGACGTCAGCTGCCCCAGATGATGCCTCACGCTCCTGTTGACCTGACAGCTCTTGGTCAACACGGACCGGAACGCCAACTAAGGCGCATTAACATCCTACTCAGGCTTGATCCCTCACGCCACGCCACCGGCGATGTCAGACGCTACCAGAAGTACGATCTTGTTCCCTGCGGGCAGGCACATCAGGCAACGGTAATCCTCACTATAAAAACCCTCGCGCTCCGAGGAAAAGAGAAGACGAACACAAGAGGAGACAACATAGATAAAAAAAACCCCCTGCGACTATTCACTAACTTGATCGTCGGAGGGGTCGGGCCGAGCTCTCCCGACCCAACCTTTATGCAGGTGCGAAGACGGAGGTCTCCCACTAAACGCCCAGGCGAGGAGCTCCCTCCCAGAGGAAACGATGACCCCGTCCCGATCGGACCACCGCGATCGGCCGCCTCAGCAGTCTCGAGGATTGTCCCGAGAAGATCCCCCATCATCCGGACCCGAACCAAGCCGCGTCGGCCCCGAGGCCATGGCTTAAAGTTGTTTACACCAACATTTTGGCGCTAGAAGGAGGGCCCGAATGTCGAGGGATCACCCGATCAACTTAGACGAACCCGCAGTTGAGGGGTCATGCCCGATCGGAGCTCCGGGGGAACACCCCCCGCTTGGAGAACCTCGAGACGAACCCCCCGCCACGACTTCAGAGCGCTATTGGCGGATATTTAATGACCCAGGCTTATCGCCACCCGACGGCGCCCCAGCCAACCCGCCGCTCGTGACGCCCGAAGCCTTTCAGGACCTCACTCATCAAGTTCGAACTATGACTGGTATGGTGCAGTCCATTATCCCGCTCGTTTCTCATTCAACGCACCCGCTTGCGATCCAACCACTACGGCAACAGGAGCCGCCCGTTCGGGCCCACACGCCACTTTCGGAGCTCCCCACTTCGCCTCGGGTCCGATCGGCCCCACTCGGGGATCGAGTGATGGAAAACCCGAGTGGCCGCCCGGAACCCGAGGCATTATCTTCGGATTCAATGGACTCCCTGTGAGCCCAGCTACGCTTTGTTAGTCAGCGGCTCGACGAAGTGGAGAAGGAGGTTCGTAGGTCAAAGGGAGAGCTCTGAGAGGACGCACACTAAGGGTCTCCGTTCGCGCCCGAGATACAAGATCAAACGGTTCCCCCGAACTTCCAGCTCCCCTCTTTGGACGCATATGACGGCTCCACCGACCCAACGGACCACGTAGCCGCTTTCCATGCCCAAATGACGCTGTACGGAACCTCTGACGCTCTGATGTGCAGGGCGTTTCCCACGACTCTGAGGGGGCCAGCCCGCACATGGTACAGCGGTCTGAAGACCGGGACGATCACCTCCTTTGATCAGCTCGTCAAAGACTTCGAGCTTAACTTCTTGGCCTATGCCCGGCCAAAGCCGACCGTTGCACTGCTCCTCAGACTCAACCAAAGGGAGGATGAGCCCCTCTCCCATTTTTTGAATCGCTTTACAACACAAATCCGGGGGTTGCTGGACGCTCATCCCTCTTTGTTAGTGCAGGCGTTTATGACAGACCTACGACCTTCCAGATTCTTCTGGTCCCTCGTGGAGCGACCCCTCACCACAGTACCAGATATGCTCCAGCGGGCTAACTAGTACATTGCGGTGGAGGCCTGGGTGGCCGTGAGGAGAATGAGCGACTTTTGGCAACGGGCTCCATAGAAAAGGTCAAGCACCCGCGGTGGCTATCCGATGTAGTCCTCATAAAAGGAATCTAGGCCCTGCCTTAGTCTCTTACGAGCGAAGGCTCAGTATCTACCTGACCGCCTCCCGGCTCGCGGTTAGCTCCGGCCTAACCCCCTTTTGTATCTACACGGCTCGGCCGTAGACTGCCCGAGTCCACCTCTACGCGGCCTACCCGCCTGAGTCATGCTCTTCGGCTGCATGTTGCCCGAGACCACTACCTCTGCGTGGTCTGCCCACCTGAGTCGTGCTCCTCGGCTGCATGCCTCCCGAGACCACGACCTCTGCTCGGCCTGACCGATTGAGTCATGCTCCTCGGCCGCATACCGCCTAAGGCCACCGCTGCACATCCAACCCTCCTCAGTTACTAAACTCCACAATCCCACACCCCTGGTAACGGGCCAGCAACCGCCCACCAGGGATAGTTTCTTAAAGTTGAAGTCATGCCTCGGACCCCCTTTTACAGCAACCGACGCATAGCTTCCTTCGGGGGGGAATATGATGAGGGTAATAATGACGATAAGACTCGGGTGACGTCAGCTGCCCCAGATGACGCCTCACGCCCCTGTTGACCTGACAGCTCCTGGTCAACACGGACCGGAAAGCCGACCAAGGCACATTAACATCCTACTCAGGCTCGATCCCTCACGCCACGCCACCAACGATGTCAGACGCCACCAGAAGTACGATCCTGCTCCCTACGGGCAGGCACATCAGGCAACGGTAATCCTCACTATAAAAACCCTCGCGCTCCGAGGAAAAAAGGAGACGAACACGAGAGGAGACAACATAGATAAAAAAACCCCCTGCGACTATTCACTAACTTGATCGTCGAAGGGGTCGGGCCGAGCTCTCCCGACCCGACCTTTATGCAGGTGCGAAGACGAAGGTCTCCCACTAAACGCCCAGGCGAGGAGCTCCCTCTCAGAGGAAACGACAACCATGTCCCGATCGGACCACCGCGATCGGTCGCCTCAACAGTCTCGAGGATCGTCCCGGGAAGATCCCCCATCATCCGGACCCGAACCAAGCCGCGTCAGCCCCGAAGCCACGACTTAAAGTTGTTTACACCAACAATATTTATCCATTTTCAGTGCCATTTGCAATCGCAAGTGAGGGATCGAGTACACAGCATTCCATGATCCGTACATAACTGCCTAAGTACACAAAGCAGATGAAATCATCCAAAGAATAGGAAGAACAAAGATATAGAGAAAGAGAGAGAGATGAACACATAAGTACATAATTTCAGTAAGACAGTTTCAATACAGCAAGGAGTTCTGCAAACGATGCATACCATCAACAACATTGCTCGACAAGAAAACAATGCAAAAAATTGCATCATGGGAGATGAGGTACATGATGAAAAGCCACATATAATACTGAACTCCTAGGTACGATCTTCAAGCCAACATATGGTACTGAGTCTTATCTGGCCCATGATACTGCATCAATTTCATCTCTTGCATTTTTATACAACTCGAGTCTCTTAGCACATTGCAGCCTGCGCTCCATTAATGCAGGATCTTCATCCAACAGCTGAGAAAGCTGCTTTCCCTGCATTGAGAGAAATATATTTGAAGATGAGTGCAAACGATCAAGGGGTTCTTAGCTCAGAAAATGGATAAGACATGAAGGGTTCAACATAGATGTGGCCAGCGTAAAGGACCTCTTTCTTTCCCACTTGCGTATAGAAGTGATTGAGCAAAGAGCGCTTGGCTTCTCTAACTTGACAATAGACTGCTGCCTTGGGGATCGAGTTCTTGAGTGTTTCTGACACCATTGATATATAGGAGGAAACATTTGAAGCTATCCTCCTGAAGTGCCCATCAGTGTATCTATCAATGGTGGGGGTGGCAGGATTCCCAGCTTTCTCCACTTCCTGAGGGAGCTTGCGGAAGAAATCTACTGTCAAATATGATGCCTCCATATCAACCAAACGTATAACTGTCTTGCGGCTATCTTCACGGAATTTTTCCAGGGATTGATAAGAAGCAGCTGCTAGTTCTGCTTGGAGAGTGGGGAATCTTTTCAACTCCTACAACAAAAAGATTAATATGTGCCTTGATATTTTGTATTTAGTAGTCCAGATCATGAAAAATTATAAAGCACTAACCTGGGTCTCTCCTATCGACTTCCTCACCAACTCTTTAAGAACAAAATGCACCTGCAATCATACCCGGTAAGTGCAACTAAAAGCGAACAATTCAAAGCTGAGTGTAAAATAAAAATATATGAATGATGCCTTACAGCATCCACTGATGCTTCAGCTGGGCCTCTAAAATAGTTCAAAGAACTCTCGATTAAGCGACGATAACCTTGCTCAGGAGCAATCAAATGGGGCTGATAACCATCAGCTTCTGAGACCACTTTCTTCACGTTTTGCAGCGAAAGATGCCGGTCAAATGGAAGTTTCTTCAAAGCAGCAGGGAGTTGATTATCGAAGACACCATAAATTCGATCACCACCAGGACGCCTGTTAAAATGAACTTATGTTCAGTGTCAAGATGCAAATACAAGACCAAACAGCGTATTAACAGAAATAATAAACATATAACAACCCTATGAGGCTACTCATGCACACTGATCTGGTCAATATGCACAAGCTTCCCATGAAGCAGACTGAATGAGAGATTTTTCTTTTGTCTTGTACTTCTTATTTTTTTGGCAAAGTGGAGTCTCACAATGTCATTCCAGATCACATGTATAGTACAGCAACCATTAAGTCAAATGAAGCCCACAGTCCATGAAGTATCTCTAAGCATACAATAGCAGCATTTTGCCAGTCAAGATATGGTAATTGGTTTCTTGATTTTCACAAATCCAAGAGCCAAAAGCATGACATAACAATTACAACAATAACAATAAAATCGTAAATCCCAATGATTTAATGGTTATAATTGTTATGTCAAAAGCATGACATAACAATTATAACCATTAAATGTTGCAAGAAAACTTACATATTAAAAGATATTGTTGCTATAAGAGGGCAAATATCAAGCTTAAATTCAATCTAGGGAAGGCAGTATTACGATATAATTAACAAGTTAGTGCAGAAAACTGGAATTATATGTCTGAATAAATTCTTTTGTTGAATTAACCTTACATTTCAGTTGGACGATTGGTTTTAAATTATTAACTATAGATTGGTTTTCTTGTAAAAGCTCTTAATTTGACCACTGATATGCTCATGTCACATGCATATATCAATAGTATAAATCCATTTAGCAGATCCCAAATAGTGGGGATCTGACAGCAGCTTATGTTAAGATATGACCTGACAGCTGACACAAAGCTTCATGTAATAAGAACTTTATTCAGATGAGATCGTAGTTGACTATGAAATTGTAATTCAGTTAACCCAGATTGCAGTTAACCACTAAAGCAATCAAACAAACCAGTGTCTCAGTATATAAACAATCATTACAAAAGAAAAAAGACTGGACTACTCCTGTGAAAGTCAAATGTCACCATCCAAAACAGTGAGCCAAAATAACCTTTTATTATTTGGATATTGGTAAATAATTTGACACCTACAAACAGAAAAAAATTTAGCTTTAAATATAATTTTCACAACTACTTATATGGTGTTGACAAATTGTTGACCAAATCCTACCATCCACTCAAATGCTAGCAATATATTGGTAGCTCAAATATATCATCAGGTCCATAAATAGGATGGCAACCATTAAAAAAGAGCAATGAAAATAAGGCTTTTACCCTCCCTCCAGATGCTCCTTGAATATCTTGTCAAATGCACGACAAAGCTCCAGTATAGTGTACAATTGTGCCTGGTAAAAGTAAAAAATGCAGGTAATTTACCAACAACCTTCTTTAACTACGATAGACAAAACCTAAAATTAGTCACAGTAATGTATACCAACCCCTGCATCCAAAGCAATGGGTCTACCAAGATGATCCATCTCAGATTCCAGTTCATCAATGGTTTTAGTTATCAAAGATGAAATACTTGGAATACGTGCCCTGATTACAGATTCCAGATGCTGAAACAAAATTCAACCATTAAAAACAGATTATTAAGCTTTCATATAAAGGAATTTTCATAAATTCTAAAGGAGACAAAATATTATATACTCGTGAGAGAAGTTTAGCAAGATATTCTGATCCCATTTTACTAGCTAAATGTGAGTAATCCAGACTATTTGCAAAGTACTCCCTTTCCTTTCGCCTGGCAACAATCATGTCAACATTCTTATTAATATCTGCTTGTGAACGGTTAACAATTCCAACCCAAGGATGCTGAAGCTTATAAGATCTTCCTTCAAGAACCTTTGAAACAAAACATAACACAACAAACAAAGTTAGGTGAATATATACAGGATGTATTTTTAAAAAGTAGCACATTAAGAAAGTTGACCAACATCAAGCGCATTTGTTCCCTTATCCATTAGATCCAACTTTGTCAATACTCCAAATGTTCTTTCCCCTGATCAATTTTAATAATTCCATTATGAAAAGAGGACAACAAAATTATCAAATAATAATCTACCATACAACAATTATTTATTGTGCAATCATCATTGCCAATTGTAAAAACAAGTTAAACAACATAACTGTACAATATTAGCATCATAATCATATATTGTACTGTTTCTACAACTGCTAATTATGTAGCAATGTACCTGTCGGGTCAACTTCTCTAGCAAGTTTGATGGCATCAGATGTTGCAATATCTTGATTGGCAGGAGAAATGGCCAATATTATGCAGTTTGGCTGCAAGATGACACGTGGTGATGAGAACAAATTATGTCAGCACTTTGTATATAGAGGGGAAATCAAAACCAAACCAAGCAATCAAGAAAGCTATGACTCACAATGAAACCATGATAAAAGATTTAGAATTTTGTATAAATTATTTTAGCCTCTATCTTTTCACAACAGTACTTGATTAAGATTGTTCATGAATTATCAGCTAACAATGAAGATAAATAAAGTTAGCCACATATTGAGGTGACTGATATACAACTTATGACAAGTGGAAATTGCTGAATTTGCCTGAGGAGCAACGGCACAAAATCTAACAGAAAAAAGAAACTATCATCAAACAAGAGAAGAATGGCAAGTCCTAAACAAGCAAATGATCAAAGTAACAGTCAAGCCATTACTTCTGACGCAAAGGGAGAAAAGAAAGCACAACCAAAGGCACATATACAATATGTACCTGTCCTGTTAAAGAACCAGCCAAAAGAGAGAATTGAACAGAGATGTAAGCCCAGAAAGATGGGCGCTGTGTTATTCAGCTATTGGTTAATTTTAGACACGTCTTGAAAAGGAAAAAATATCTGCTAAGAAACATCATATTGGCAAAAAAAAAGAGTATTCTTTTAAGTCAAATAAAAAGTGCATTGTGAATAATTAGGTCAAAAAAATATGTTAAGAAAAAAATCATATTACTAAATAGACAAAAAAAAAGAGTATTATTTTAAGGATCTGCGGCATCTGCCTAGCCCAACAATAAGGCCACCATCCCAAAATTTAAAAGAAATCAGGAATTGGCTGCAAATAAGCAAAAAGCTGAGAATTAGCCAATCCCAACCAACTGATCCAACAATTCAATTTGACCGACCCAGTCAAATCTGATTTGACCCTGATCCGCATTTCTAGTCTTTAATCTGAACACTCATCGTTCCAATCTTAAAACCAAAGGTGTCCTGAGAAACAAATCAAAAAACAATAATAACTGCATGGCATAGGATACCTTCTCAACATATGTCCGAACCATATTTTCAATGTCTTGCACAATACTATCAGGCTGCCCCTCTGCAAAAGACAGAATTGTTCTATGTAAGATAATAAAGAAAGTGAACCCTGTTACTTCAGAAAATACAATAGGAACTGATGCTTAAAAGCCCAAACGGCATATACCTACAGCAACCTTTGTAAGACCCGGTAGATCAATAAGTGTTAGGTTCACAACTGCAGTAATTAACCAAAGTAGTAAGTATCATTTACAAGGTAAAATATTGACCCTGAAACTTCTATATTAAAATATCAGCAATGACCATGCAAAGATGCAGAAGAATAACATGGTTGATGGACTTTCCATCATAAAACATGGTGGATAGATTTTCAATCATACAGAATAACTTAGAGAATTAAGGCATAAATTAAAAAATATGTCAGAAACTTGCAATAACACAATATGATCATCAACCAGGCTCAGTGAAGTGAAATTCAGGTTCAAATTATCTCAGCGAGTTATTGGTCAGGTTACAGAATTTCTGTCAATATTTGCAACAGAAATGAAAAAATTCTATTACCACCACCACCACAATCACAAGTAAAGATAACATTACTAGTTAAATTTGAAGGATAATATTACCACAATCACAATCACAAGTTTATTTTGTGCATTTATAATGTTCTTTGGACATGTCAAAACCACCTTAGATAGTTACCCTCAGTTTACACCCATACCCTCAGGCCTCAACTGCTCATAAATGCAGTAAATTTTAATTATAATTCCCAGATATTACCAACACAAGATTCACAAAAACAACCAGTGCAAAGCAACTAGTCCAACATAGCATATTTTAGGGAGACAAGCTGAAGAGCCATCCAGCATGGTGATCAGTCCCAGCTCAAGACCAACTACCCAAAGGGCAAGCAGTTGACTGGTTTGCGGCCTCAGATAGCCCAGTTGTCACCTCTGCGCCTTGCATCTGTAATGCACATGAGCAGGTCACTCACCAAAAACCTCCTGCTATCATCAGGGTCTCTGAGAGATCATGGAAAGCCTTACATACTCAACAAGAACCAACACTGCAACTTGAAAATACCCTCCCTTGCAAGATGCAGCCATGGTGACCACTTCCCAGATCAGCCAACCAATGTGGCACAACAGGTGGCCTTCTATACATATTAACTCAGGCCCTCGTATCCATTCCATTGTCCACAAATACTCAACTACCAAGCTGTAAGATTCCTATTTAAGGTCCCTTTCTAGAGACTCTCTGGCAACCACTTATGTTCTTTTTCTTTAGAGAAACTGCACCTGTAATCCACACTTCAGCATGTTTATTAACTGGTGCACTCCTGAAGACGCCCAGAATCTATCACAAAGTGGCCAACCTTTCTTCCAAATTCATTTCCCTATTTCTTGGAAGTGACACATTTCAATACAAAGAAAAATGCATGGCAATTAATATACAACAATTGTTACCTAAAATTACCAATAAGAATGAAATAAATTTATATAGGAAAAAGAGTGTCTGAGAAAGTTCAACAATATTTTTATGAAGGAGATCATGAGTTAGTTCGTAAAACAAACTCATTAAAACTACTAAAATGGTAGGCATAAGTCATTGATAAAAAAATGAAATTAGAAACTGAATATAGAAACAACAAAAGAAGTCTTCACCGAAGGGAGAGTAAATGCTTAGATGAATCGGAACAGGAGAAATTTGTTTTGTTTTCCCTGTTAGTCTGTCAGTTTCATCTTGGATTTCCTTGCGCACAAGAGCTACAGAAGAGAAAAAAACACAACAGTTAAAAGCATAATCGATTAATAACATAAGCCCTACAAGAAATATAAACCTTGCAAATAAATTCCTGGCGTTCACACAGTAGCTACAATGAATTTATCAGACACATGAAAATCAAGGATAGTCAAATATCTTTGGGCATATTATCTTAGGTTTTTGAACTTGCCGTACCAATTAACACATAACAAATATTTCTTCTAAAACATTAAAATCAATTAAAGAAATTATAAAATCACACAGATGATAATCCAATCAAGAAGCTATGGCCTACACAATACACAGCAAGTTCATTAAATACATTCATTGCCACATGGACCCAACTTAGCAAGCAAGATACATGAGGCAAACGTACAGATAGCCAAATTGGGATGGTGTCCTACCTTTAAGTTACCCAGAGGATAGTATCCTACCTTTAAGTGTCCTACAACTAAGTTACTACTTCCTATGGTAAAATTGGGGTAATCACTGTTTGTCGCAATTCAACATGATCGAAATGAATGAAGATCAAACCTAATCTCAAATTACACTGGGGCATAAATAGTGTGAACAATACACACTTACAATTAAAAGATATGTTATTAATTGCTTGACTTCTTGATAAATTATATTTGCTTATAACTTACATAACTTCATAACTTATAACTTATATTTGCTTCTATTATGGAACCAGAGTCTTTACCTTAAGCTTCAGCAAATCTAAGACTAAGAAACGCTTGGTTCAGAAACTACAGGTATAGATTCCACTTCTGGCTCATTAGATCCATGAAAGTGCCATAGAGAGAGTTCAACATGCTTTATATAAGCTCCAAACACTCTATACTAACTGAAAAAGTAAATAACTAGTGTACCACAGTGAACTCCCTCCAAGAAGTTATGCAAACCATTTTTATAGTTCATGGGCAACCGACAGAGATATACGAATAACCAGGGCGTAAGGATTTAACATACCGAAATCAGTAAATTTCCTCTTTGGCAAGTGAAGGAACTCCGCATATTCTGGCTGCCCTTCCTCCGTCTTGTGAAGCTGCAGCACCAAGGGTCTCCTCGTGACGATTCCTTAAAATAGTGTACAAGAAAAGGGAAAACCCCAATTAATTCAACCACCGCTGAATCAGCCACTGAAAGTTCAAATACACGATCGGACCATTCAAAGGAACCGAAACCAATCAATATCTCGGAACCCTAACCAGATCCACGAGGCAGGAAATCACGCCCAACGATGCTCTCCAAGACCGATGATTTCCCCGAGCTCTGTTCGCCAAAAGACGCATCAAAGAAACTGATTAAAAACATCGAGCTGCAAACGACACGGTTGCAGCGAGATCGTAGACGAGTACCTGTCCACCGACGACGGCGACGGAGGGGAGCGCCTCCCAGAGCGTCGGCAGGGCCCCGTCGGCGCCGCCATGGTCGCCGAGCACCGTGCACGCCCTCTGGATGCGATTCACTAGGCCGATCAAACTCTCCATCGTCGTCATCTCCGGAACCCCAACTGTCGCCCTAGAATTCGAACCCGACAAGCCAAAGAGAGAGAGAGAAAGAGACAGAGAGGGACTGACGTAGTTGCTGCTGCTATGGCCGGTGGTTCGCTTTCGCTGTCCACTGAGTTCGTAGACTGTTCTCCCCACTACGCCCCTAACGCGTCCAATGCTGGAACGTTGTGGAAGGGGCAGTTTGGGGAGATCGCGGGACACTACGTGGCCGTGGGTCCGGGTAACGGCGTTCGTCTCCCCCACCCGAGTTCACCTGTGGTCTCTCTTTTCAAAAGTTTTCAAATTCGCCGTAACCACGACGGGAATATCCGCATAATTAACCGTTACGAACGCGCCGGCCCACATGCGGCCATTCTGAATGTGTGATGGATGCACCCCTATATGCGTGACTCTTAACCATATATTTGCGATATCTACTAGTCAAGGAACAGTCTATTCGATATTTCTTGATTACATAAAATAGTACCGGAGTATTATACTTTTTCATATTTTTCAAACAACATGGTATATAATATATTTATCATGATTACGTCAACGTTTTTCATTCCCATTTGGACGTGGCAGTGGCAGGATGAGGAGCCCGTCAGAAAATTCATGAGTTTTTTTTATATATATTTTTAATTAATTTATTACATTTTTTTAAAAAAATTATTATCAAAATTGATTAATAATATTAAATTTTACAAACAATGACAATAATATTTGTGAAATTTATATATCATGACAATATTCAAATACAACTAAATATATTCAAATATAATCACAATCAAATAAATATATCTAAATAAATCTATAAATTAATAATTTTTATATATTAATTTTTTGATGAAATATTTTTATTATTTTATTATTTTATTTTATAAAATTTTAAATATATTAAAATTGTCTTGGAATGTCAAAGTGATACACTGAGTTCAATTCTTTTATATATATATATATATATATATATATAATTATTAAAATAATATATATATTCAGATAACTATCCCACCTTACTAAATATATATGTATTGTTTTGTCATCGTCCAAATGCATTTACTAAATAGTTATACTAAATAGCTGACTATATATACTATTAGTCGATATAATCCCTAGCAATATACTAAACTTATTACATAATTCAACCTCATATATATATGTATCATTTCTATACTAAAGAGAAAGTTTCAATGCTCTCTGATGTCGAGTTTTGATTGTCTTGGGATGATCATGGATAATCCATTGTTTCCATACAAGCCCTTATATAGATACCAAATTTTTTGAGTTAACAATTCTTCACCTTTATTAGCTTTGCATAACTATTTTGATTGCCAAGCAACATATCCATTCTTTCACGATCTCATATTTTATTAAGCACTTTGCTTACCTTGAGTGACATTAAGTTTGGTTTCCAACGTCAAGTCGTAGTTATAACTAAGTTATTCCAATCTTATGTACTACATGTTCTTCCATGCTCATTTGTCCTTGTGATGTCTCTCGCATAAAGGGTTAGTTATTCCTTTAAATACCAATATCAAATGCTTGCTCTTTTAAAAGATTTATTTGTCTACATTTGTATATTCGTTTTTCTCAAACGATTACATGTGTTGGTTGTCCTCAGCAAAATCTCACTAAATCTCTCATGTTTACATGCCAAAGTATTTTTAAGTGTACTTGTCCTACTCTAATATCATCTATCATACTTAGTTGATTTTGTCTAATTTGTACAGTACCTTTGAATGATCATTTGAAAATGATCAACCTCTTTGAAAATTATTATGATCCTTTAAAGATCTACAAAAGAGAAGATGAATTAGAAAAAACATTTAACTCGTGATTTTACAAACAATCATTTAAGTAAATACTTAATAGATAATATAAATTATAAATAGATAATATAAATTATAAATATAGACATTGCAAGCTCTAAATAATCATGCAACGAAGGTTCCAAGGTAATATATCAATACCAAAAGCCCCCATAAGTATCTATATAATATTACTACGAAACAAGACAACAAATTAGCTCTAAACACTACTCTGAAAGCCCATCAAGCCATGTGCTACCTAAGTATCTCCTGATACTAACCGAAACTCCACACCACTCTAAACTCAAAAACCATCAAATGACTATATATTTTTGAATAATTTTATCATAATTATACATAATCTGTGTTTACAAGCTAATCAAAATAGAGCTATCAAGTTTATTACAAATTCTTTATAAAGTATGAATAAAATTATATATATATAAACATTATATTATTTAAAGTATATAAAACACTCTATTTAAAATGTGACAAATAAGCTCAAAACTCAATTAAAATTATATAAAAAATCTAAAAAATTAAATTATTTTTTAATAGACTTATTTTTTAATAGGCTATGCATGAATGTCTTTGCCATATCCACCAAGACACCAATCGAAAATACTCAGTAATCGATTTTTTTTTTTATCAGAGGCAGATATTGCAAACGGTAAAGAACAAAAAAAAAAAAAAAGGGAGAACACCCGAGAAAGACTTTAAAAAAAAATGACTTTCTCGGTAATTCACCCAATAGTATCATAACCACGACAGCGATATAACTGCAGAACAACCAGTGCTACATTTTGCACCATTAGCAACGATGCCGTTAAGGCTCTTCCGTAGACATCATCGTGCCGGGAGAATCAAAGACCAAAGAGTTGGAACAGTTAACATGCCAACTATCATACTTACTGCTAGGCATTTATTTAAACCTTGATTTTTAGCACCAAATGAAGGCTCAAGGACTGACAAAACATTTGATCCCTCAGTGCACGATCAATCTCCAAGACGTAATAATCCTCAGCAGCTTATAGACCTCCAGCCATTCACTTTCAGTCATATGTTTATCATAAACCAGAACAATCGACAAATGACTGAACTCATTTAACCAATACTTAGTTATAAATCAAAAATTACATTTTAAATGAGCATACTACATAATCAGTTCCTGTCGACGGAGTGGCCAAGAAAAAATGACTTGCATCAGAAAAGACCACCTAGGATTCATTTGCTACTCCTACTCAACAACAGCTAGCAGATCACCAGCTTTACAGAAACAGTGCTTAGCTTCTGTCCCCAAGTCCACCTGCACACCAACTTACCAGGAGAAATTACAATTCAAGTAAACTATGCTGTGCAAACTATCCATGCTGCGAAAAATATTCAGCCCATTTATGCAACAATAAAAATAACAGACATGTTAGTCATGTGCCTATCAGTTCATGGTTCACATGTAACACAAATCCATGTTTGCTATCCATGCATATCCGGAAATAAGACGACAATATATGCAATTGCTGAATGACTTTATTTGTGGCAATCCCACATACCTCATAAGCATTAATATCTGAAAAAAGAACCTGCAAAATAAAGGAGTGCCAAGCATTGTCAGGAAAGCCCAACCAAAAGGATAAAGACTCAACTTTATTGTCACCATACGACCATACAAATCTCCAGGAAGGAAAACAAATGAAAAACCTATGATGCCATATTATGTGATAAAAAGTATCCAATAGCACTACTTTAACTTTCTTAAATGAGGACAAACTTTTCTAAAGCAAAAGAGATCTTGCACATGCAAGCGTACTACATTAACTCCAACAAGGTTAGGTGCAGCTCAGTGACTTGATAGATACACAGAAGACATGTACCTGATACCCGGTTGTCACTACTGCAATAAGTTACTCTAGATACTTTAGTTCCAGAACACGAAATCATCTTACAAAATCAGTCCTATTAATCAATTATATCTGTAAACTGCTACCAGTGTCTTGTGCATTTTGATTCAGGTATAATTTGAGATGCCGATCAACATTTTGATAGTTGACTTACAATCACAAATGTGGATGCTTCCTATCTAGTGACCCAAGAAATATAAAATTAGGTGAATAATTTGCACTATATCTGCCTGTTAGATGGATAAGGTATGCTATTTAAAAGTAAAGGTATTCAGATGAGTCGTCATGAGATGCACCAATGATAGGTAAATTTATATGTTATTTTCATACCATAAACACAGTGCAAGATCATATAAAGAAAGGAAATCAGTGATCATCCCCACTTTGTAGACTAGTTCATCTACCAAACACCACTACAAGGGAACCAGATTTACAAATAATGAACCACATTTAGAAAACAACTTTGCGAGCTGCCCATGAATTCATGACCCACTGGATATCGAGATTAATTTTTTGCCCTCATACCCCATGGTTTTCTTTAAAGCTTCTTAACTTTCTAATTTCCAATCTTGGTTTCCCATAAAGATCGCATGCTCTGATCTTCAGGGCAGTTTCTATTCTTGTTCAATGAAGAAAATTTTCCTTTTTGAAAAAGAAGTCCAGTTAACAAGTAGTTTATAATAGCCACAATAAATTGACAAAGAAAACACAATGATTTTATGTAGAAGGCTTAGCCATAAGAAGTGTGTATAAGACCATTGCGACCTAGTCTGATCAATAACTCATCCGTTAAAATCACTAGCACAAAATGTTTAAGCTCAAGTTAATACACCCACCCTTACAAGTTAATCTAAATCTTTACCCACTTTCATTGTGGGACTAAACTGAAGTGTTACAAGAATGACAGACACCATAAACTAAAATGACCTTCGTGATAAAGGGAAATATATTTTCTAGTACTGCAATAAAAATAAACCTGTAATCCAATGAGTTAAAGCATTGTCCAAAATCTTATATGGAATGAACCTCAGAGATGGTACCTTCTTTCCTGCTTCCACCTCGGCAACATCAGAACCAACTGACAGTACCTGTTCCAAGAGGTAGAGCAACAATTAAAGGACTGACAGTTAGCAGAAATGACATGGCAGCATCACTTGACCATTACCTTGCCCATTATATAGCGCTCAAATTTAACAGCTGATTTTGGAAGTAGAACTCCACCAGCAGATTTCTGCTCCAAAGATATTTTCAGTAAGAATAAAGAACCGGGTAGCTAAAGTTTTTCTTTTCAGAAACATATTTGCTCACTAGTTTTTGCAACTTATGTTCTTGCTACTTTTCAAATAAAAATATATTATGATATACAAATCCCACCTCAAAGATTAGTGAACATTGTAGTTGGTAATTTCACCATAAGCAGGAATAGTTATTTCATCTCCCAAACTGTTTCATTACCCATCACAAAGTATGACAAACAATAAGATGGAAGTGCTGAAACATTCAAATAGGGAACTGCTATGCAACTAAAACAATTTATTTGATGGTTTGGCCCCTGAACAGTTTTAAGAACACAAACAAAATTGTTTCTCAATTTCTATCAACAAAGGCACGGAGTAAATGGATTTTAAATTATCTAAGCAGTCAATCACATTTACGAAAAAAAAAAATGCTGATCCAAAGAAACCCACTCGGGCTGACAATACTGTGTGTCTAGGTCTCACGTGCCAAATTATCACCAACCCCATCTGAAGACAGATAGCTACCTATCAGATTTAAAGCAATTCGGGTAGAGGGGATGGTGCAATTGACCGGTAGAATGAACCAAAACTTGCATAGACTAGAGGGATCGGACAAACACAAACAACAGCATTAACCCTCGGTTTTTTGTCCGATAAGTTATCTAAATTGCATCCTTAAATCACAGAGAAAATATTAGCAACAACAACAAACGTAGGATTATAACAACCTCGGGCAGCTCCTCGAGGCGAATGAGGACCCTATCGGCTTGCGGAGCCACCTGCATCCAATACGACCAGAAAATAGGTGCGGGAAGATGAAGTGTATCGAATTAGTGGAACTGCAAAGAGACATTGCACCAGACCTTGGATGGTTCCCATTTCAAGGAGGAGACTCTGAGCGCGCTCCTCCGCGAGGTATGGAGGCTCCAAAGCGGAAAACAATGACCAGCGCGAGGAGGAGGAGTTCGAGGCTGAGAGGGGTAAAGGAGAGTCTTGGCGGCGGAAAGGAGAGAGGACGCCATAGGCCAGGGAAATGTCTCCAACGACGACAGATGCAGCGAGAACTCACGAGACACACTATTATATAGTGGTTCTATGATCGCCGATATATTGGGATTTCTCCCGGCTATTCTGGATAGTTCTTCACCCGCGTGAGAAGCACATGACACGGTCTATGTTTAATGGACCACTTCCACCTTGGTCGGTCTGATTCGATCCCAGTTTGATCGGCCGGACCGGGTTGGAGTTGTGAGTTCAAGGCCTCAGCCCAAGTAGGACCGGGCCGCTTGGCAGCCAATAATCATTAGCCACATCAACATGAGCAGGGCATCATTTGTCTTAGGCGATTAGATGTTATCTTTTGTTCAGTGTGGGGGTACGAGTACGGGCCGGGCCGGCGACTGCCACTGTTGTTTGTCTCGCAACGATCGCGAGCAGAGCAGCAGCTATGGCGGGGATCCGAGGATATTGGACCCTTGCGGCGGCGGCGATTGCCTTCCGCCTCCTTCTCCTCTTATGTTTCCCTAAGGATCTCCACCTTGGCTCTCGCCCTGAGGTCGCCACCCCTCTCACCAGCCTCCGCCGCCGTATGAAGCCCAATCTCCCTTCCTCTCTTTCTTCTGCTTCTTTCTTTCGTCTATCATCGCGTACATTCTCTTATTTTCGTTTCTTTCTCACAGTGGCGGAAGGTTACTGGCTCAAGCAGGCGTCCATGTCGCCCTACTCAGGTTCCGGTGCCTTCCTAGGGTTTTTTTTGGTTCCAAGAAGTTAAAATATTAAGTTAGCATTGGTTGATTTTGGTGTTTTTTGGTGATAAGAGCTTTCTATTGTGTGCCATCGTCACTTTCGACGTTTTGCAAACAAATTTTACATGGATCGCATCAAATTTGATGTTTCTGAATTTTACATATTAATTGTCCATAGTACACTCGATGAGTTATAGCAGAAGAAGCGGAATGATCAGAGCATATACTGATAACAGCACTAGAGGCGAACCTATCAGTTCCAAACTACTCAGTAATAGTCATTCTAGGTTGCCTTTGGTGGGTTTTGCAGATAATGTAAGTGGAAAACCTTGGTCGAAGCATTTACAATTCATGGATGAGTGAACGCTTGATAGTGTTCACCAAAAAAAAAAAAATCTCATCAGGTGCTAAATAATATCATGTGATAGCTCCTTAGGGAATATTTTAGATTAATCAAACTGAATGTCAGAATGTGCATTTGTATGCTTTTCTTTATTTATGAAGGACTTGATTTTACCACTCTGAACTTTTTAATGCCTAATCAATCTTCAACATCAAGACTCATAGTCATGAGCATATCTGAGACAGACAGCCACCGTTATGATTTTTTTCTTTTATGAAAATGGATAAGACTATTGGAACAACAAAGATGAGGATCATGAGTGCGCTAGTCTTCTATTTGACAGAAATTGTTTGCTAATGATAAAGACAATGATTTACATTCTAGACTTTGTTGATGTAGGGAATGATAATGATTACTAACATGAGAAGCATATCATCATATTCAGCTAGGTTTGTATGGTTTTATGAGTACAAATCATAATCTTGTAGGCTTGAGCCCTATCCATTCTTATCATTTGCACAGGACATGAAGAGAAAATCCCATTTGGCAAATGTTAAGCAAAGGGACAGGCCTGTTGACACCTATATTAATGTGTTACATCTGACAGAAAAATTTTCTAGGACAGTTTTTTAATACTGTTTTTTATTTTCCTCCAAGAAAAGGTTAGTTTTACTGGATTTCTGTCACTCCTAGGGCAACAGATGTTAGAATAGATGACCACTTGAATAGTGTCTATGTAATCCAAAGATGATCAGGAATTAACTGGTTGCTGGTGTTTCATGATGCTCCCTTAATAGTGTCACTAAATTGGACATTTTATAATCAATAATCTTATGTTGCAAACATCGTGCTAACCTATTCAGATGTTTTTCTGTATTTTAGTCAGCACAAGAGATTAATCAATCTAATTATCTATTTTATTATGTGCTGGTAAATCATTATTAGTTATATTCCACATGAAATGCTGTAATAAGCCATTATATTCTTTATGGGAATGTATTTACTATGAAGATCTATGTGTTAATTTCCCATATTTCAAATACTCCACAAAAGGAATGCTTAAAAATCACTTAATTGTTTGAATCTTTCTTGCGTCTTAATTAGCTATTTGATTTCTGCTGGAACCTGGAGCTTGCTGCTTGCTGTGTGCTAGATTCTCCTGTTTTTCTGTCTCTCCGCTTAGGGGTCATAAACTCTTAGTGCTAGAATCAATTGCTGTCACACCATAGCTTGTTATTTTGAACTTAAGTCATTACCTGAGTATGTTATATGTTCTGTTTAAGTGCCCTTTACAGAATAGGCTTCATGGGTTTAATGGCATGAGGAAGAATATTCTCTATTTGTCATTTCTCTTACTCTGGCAACTTTGTTTCTTTCAGGTTCAATGTACCATGGTTCCCCTCTGCTATTATCATTTCTTGGGCAGTTGACTATTAGAAGGTATAGATTCTGGTTTGATAAGTGGCTTCTGTGCTGTTAAGCTTTCCTATGGAACTTTATTGTCCAAACACTAATGTTTTTCACTTTTTTAAAAACAAAATAAGCTAGAACTTATATGTTCCCACTTACACAAGAAAATGAAAGCATACAAAAAGCAATTTACATCCAGACATGATTGAAGATATGTAGGTTTCATTTCTTCCTTGTTGGAGGAATAATGGGGCTTACTTATGATTTGTTTAGATATACCATTTACATCTAGACATTTAGTCTTCTTTAACATTCTTCTTCTGGAATTCATTTTTGCAGAGTTGAAGGACGACCCCCTCACTTTTATTGCAGGTGACATTTCATTTATTTTATAAATTTTGGTCCAGTAATAATTTGTCTGGGGCACTAACTAAAATAACTTCATATTATTATGTATATGTCCATATAGATACCTGCAAAACTTGATGAAATCTCATGTGTTGTGCTTTTGTAAGTCTGCTTCCTTTTCTATCGTGGCATATTGCCATGACTAATTGTGTTGGCTATTTCTTTTTTCTCATCACAGACTGGTATGACCCAATGGCATAATGAGTTTGCTGACCTTTACTTTGATGAACCCGGGGAGCCATTAAATAACATTGCTTCATGAAGTTGTGCATGTGAATGGTTTAGAAAATCAAGATGCAATGTGCTTTATCTTTTTATAATCAGATAGGTGTCGCATCAACTGTGATGTAAATATTACTATATAAGATCTGAAGCATAGATTTTCTTCAACTGTTTGATCCATGCAGATAATTCCTTATCTTTTGATCTAACTGAAAACTGCTATACTGTTGTTGTTTTGACATCTCTAAGAAGCCTTCTCCATTTAGCCTCTATTTGTGGTGGTTTTTGGATTGTAAAGTATGATATTTAATGCTTATCAATGCAAAAACAGTTTGATGTTTGTGGTTGTAGATTTTATTACTGCCATACTTATCCGTGCAACTGGTCAGAAGCTTCTGTTGTCACGCCACAAGAGCTTTCAGGTTCTGAACCTCTCGAAGCTGGTAGAAGCTTCAGGTGCGTTTAAAACGTCATGTTGCTGCAAGAACAGTTTGTTCACTGTCCTGATTTATAATTGTTGTCAATTTATCCTCCATGATCCTTCTTGTGAGTAGCATGCTTGTATAGACTAGTGGTAGTTATAATACTCCCTTTTCCTTGGACAAGTAAAATTTTATTCAGAACTTGCAGCATGAAAATTGTTAATGAGAAGAAAGATTTACGAGCCTTATGTATAAATTAAGTAATTACATCACAAAAAACAAATTGACAGAATAAAGGAAATAGGGGAGTTGTCATTCAAAAGGTTCATTTTACTGGGCAAACACTATGAGATGAAGAGAATACTCTGCTCAAATTAGATTCTGCTACCTAGCATGTTTGCTCTACACATATTTAGGCCTCCATCTAGCAGTGACTTTTTCATTCAAATCATACATACCTCCCATTGAATGCCAGATGGTAGACAAAATATATATTCTAGTTATTATAATGTTCTTGGAAACCCAATTTCTTATTTTATAGCTTTTTAATATTCTAGCTTTTATAATGTTCACAATAAGTAGCTAATGCTAAGTTTTGCTAATTTTGTTTATCTAATACTTTCAGGAACTGTGAACCCTGGAGATTTTGCTTCTCTTGTATATCTTTGGAATCCACTAACGATAGTCACTTGCATGGGATCGTCTACATCACCAGTTGATAATTTAATGGTTGTCATGGCAATCTATGGAGCTTGTTCACGTAATTCCTGTTTTATGCCCTAATAATTGTGGTCTTGAGATCCGACATCCTGAGATAAACTTCAATTTGGTGAATGTTTCTTTTATAATCAGAGCATGCCAATCATCCATTGAGCAACTTATTAGTTGTATATTCATATTTTTATATACAGCATATTTAGTAGCTTGCACAAGGTTTTATACCTTTTAATAATATATATGAAACAGATGCTAAATTCATTTAAGCCTAAATTTGAATTATGATATTCCACAAGAATTCTATCATTGTTGGTTTATTTGAAGGGATAGACTATTGGTTATATTTTATCTGTACTCTACATTTTGCCCTACGTGTACCCTGAACTACTTATGCATGGTTCTATACATATCAGCAGTCCTACTCCATGTGGTTGTAGATCTTTCCTTGTTGTGGGTACTTTTTGCTCAACTTATGTTTGTCTCTCTGTTTATTTTTTGATTGACACACCTAGATTACTCCTTTTGTTATTTTGGTATTTAGAAGCTCATCATCTCTTTCTTCAGACCTGAACTATCAACTAGTAGTTGTTTATAAATATATTCTGACTAATCTAGTGTCACCACTAGATTTCCTATCTACTCAAGTGGACTTCAAGCTTCCTGAATATTTGCATTTGTAAGTATATATAATATATGTAGGATCCTTTATTTGTCAACATGGTTATAATAAAATTGACAACTCGAATTTTCAGCTGCTGCCTCTTGCTATCATTTTGGTATAAAAAGGCATTATCGTTGTGTTTTCTTGATTATTATAATGCCAATTTTGGTTGAGTAGTTTCATTAGGATTATGCTACCTATTCATTTTATTGGTGTAGTTTAAGTGACTGCTTGATCAATATTGATATATTTCTTGTTTCAATATGCACATGCAAATTTTGTGATTTGCTTTTATGCATGCCTAAAACATTGTTATATTTCTCATGGATGGGAAAATGTCGTAGGGCTCTGAAACTGTTGATCTTTTGGCTGTTATATCATGCTCTTGTTTGGTTAATTAAAAACATTTCCATAGTCTTATTGCTGGAAATTAGAGAACTCTGCCCTTCACAGGAATAGCACCATTGGCAGCCTTTGGATGGGTTTTTGCAACACACTTATCTCTTTATCCAATCATCCTGATTGTGCCGGTATTCGTTTTTTGTTCACTTATTAGTTTTATGCTGCAGTCTATTTCTTCCTCCATAAAATATTCATCTCACCATTTCTTTCCTTGGTTAACTTTATTTCAGGTCATTCTTTTATTAGGATATGGTCTGGATGCTCCTCCTTCAAAGTTGTTCCTACATAAAACTTCTGATGCAAGCAGTAGTGGTGCTCTAAATCAGAGTCCTGACAAATCTGGAGCATCAAAGCTGACAGATAATACAATTCATACTTTCTCATGGGTTCAAGTTCTTCACTTTGTATTGTGGGTATTCATATGGTTGTGCTATGTCTTATTGTTGAGTAGTATATCACTCGAGGATGTTGGGGGCCTGTCAGAAATGTTCAGGAAGTAAGATACGCAATCCATTAGGCAGTTCTCATTACATTTTTTCCTGACATACAACTTATTACCTTGGCTTGGACTACGTAACAATGCTATATTTTTTCTCAATAATTCTGCTCACCAAATTCGATAATGAATTTGTAATTAGTATTTTATTACCAAAATTCATCTCCATTGACTTTTCATTAGTATTTGAGCCTTAATCAGAAACTTCTGTCCGACAATATGTAAGTCAAAGGTGAGCTGTTCATCCCAATGGGCAATGCTATCACACCAAGTTCTTGTTATTGAGGTTTGATAAACCTGAAAACCAAATAAAATGCATTTGGGTGGTTTTGTGTTCGTGTATAAGGCAATGTTTTTTTTTTAATTCTTGGATGGTGAAGATACAAGTAGATATACCACCAGTGTTGGTGACATTCCATGTGTATAAAGTAATCAATGCTGTGTCCTTGAAAAAGAAAAAGCCAACTGGCTAATTTGGTGTTCCATTCTTACTCCAAATCACATTATAAAGTAATAAATGTTTTCTTAGAGAAAAGAAATACAGGTAAAAAAAAAGCTGTCTAGTTAATTTTGATGTTCCATATTCTACTTTCTAATATATTTGAAGCTTATCTCATCCATTGAGGTGCTGCAACCACCTTAGAAACTCGCTGATGCTGTTGGGCACTTCGCCTATCCTTGGTTGATGGACTTTTTGCTGCTCTTGAAGTTAAAGCTTATAAGTGATCAATGATCACAGATGTTTACGTCAATCACCTTAGTGGGATGTACCTAATTTCTTGAAATAAAACTACCAATTCAGATGGTGGAAAATGAACAATAAAGTAATTTTACACTTCTTTGACAGTCCCATTGTATCTGCTGTATTTTTAGAGATTAATAAATCTGGTTTGATTTCTATTTACCACGTAGATGGTCTCTTAGCATAAATTGTTAAAAGATAGCTGATATATGGTTGTCTTCACTCTTCAGATCTTAATTTTCTTTTTCTTTTTCTTTTTGACAGAACGTATGGATTTATTCTTACTGTTGAAGATCTTTCACCAAATATAGGTGTTTTATGGTAAGCTTATTAAAGATTTTATTATGTGTATCCTACTTTGTTTGTATTACATGTTTGCTCATGTGTGTAGTAAATGAATGCAGGTATTTCTTTGCAGAAGTCTTTGACTTTTTCAGGAACTTCTTTCTGATAGTTTTTCATGTCAATATACTCTTCATGATTTTGCCACTGGCAATACGTTTGAAACATCGGTCGTGCTTCCTTGCGTTTGTGTATATTGCTATCTCTTCAATGCTAAAGTCTTATCCCTCGGTAAGTTATTCTTCATTTTGAAAATTGGTTGCATACTGGCTGCTGATGCACCATATTTATATGAATTTTCGAAAAGGTAATCAATAATATAGCATAAGTATGGCAATAAAAAAAATTATGTAATACATTTATGATTAATGTTGCATTTATTCGGAGTGTACAATATTTAGTTGGCTGTTCTGCGTGTTAACAGATGTAGCTGATTTACGAGGACTCAATTGTGGTGATTATAATTGCTTCCATTAACTAGAAGTCTAATGGCAGTGTTAGACTCACCATCAGCATAGTTAACATAGCTTCAAAATGATTTGTAAACCTCTGTTCCACTTTGATTGTTTTTCCTCTAATGGCTTTGGCTCTCAGCACTGAATTGTTTGGATTGATGCAGTACTAACAGCCTTGCCTGTCTGAAGAAGCCTTCACATGCTATACATATACATGATCAAATTGTTGAAAAGGCAATCTTATGTGAGATTTAATGAGTTTGTTGTTACTAACTCATGTTTATGAGACTACCAAGCAAGGTTCACCATATTGTGGTGTACCACCCGGTACGAGCGATATATACCGGTCTGACAAGGGATCGGTAAATGGAGCACCATATATGGAGTAGTACACATTACATGATCGTATCAGGTGATACGGGGTTTGTATTGGTCGGTAACAATCTAAATCTAACTGTTATAGGTCAAGGGCTGAGATTCCCTATTTCAAACAATCAATTTGACCATTTGAATCATAGGAAAGGGTTCAACCCATTTTGGACTGGTACACGGATCGTCCTATATCGGGCGATACACATTACATGACCTCGTATCGAGCGATATGAGGTTTGTATTTGGTTAGTAACGATCAAAATTCGACCATTACTGATCAAGGGTTGAGATTGCCTTGTTTCATGCAGTCAATTTAACCATTTGAACCATAGGAAAGAGATTTTAAACCCTCTCCTCTCCCCTCTTTTAACTCATTTAACTCTCTCAATCTCTTTAACTCTTTCAAACTCTTTTTCACTTAGGTCTCTCTCTCATTCTCATATCTTCATCAGATCCTTTGCTTGATTAGGCGGGAGATCCTCTATGTCCTTTATGTTTTATCACTGCGACAATAGAAGAGGAAGTGTATCCCCAACAGGAGGAAGATCCTTGTCGATCAATGTGATGGAAGGAGCCGAACAACATCAAGTCAAACTGCTCAAGAAACTTAGGACACTCAACCGTCACAACCCTCCGCCCAACATGCAAAGGCAAAGGCAAAGGGGAAGGCCGTAGCATCAGCCGCATTGTTGGAAATAATTGAGTCGAGCAACATGACACCTTAATCGCATTCAACAACTTGCTCGATCCAGAGATATGGCAACGACTCGGATAGAAGTGCCTCGACTGATGATAGCAGCGATGTTGGGGAGTCGATGGTCTTGTCTACATAATTTGAGGGTAGTGCATAAATCGAGGAGCAATATTTTACATATGCCACCCAAGATTTTAGATTATGGCGCTCGACGAAGTACTGGTCAAGTTTATACATAGAAAGGGAAGGGAAAGATAGTGAATGATTTTAAGCAGATGCGACATAGCCGACACGACATAGACACAGAGCGAAGCTTATCGTATTATGGAGAATCTTACGACCATTAACAATACGATGATAGTTGGTCATTCTTTTCTAAGAAACAGTACGGTGATCGATCTTATGATATAGAGTAGCATATTAGTTGTGAAAGTAGAAGTTTTGACATTCTCCATGCTCCGCACCAATACATGTCACCATTGTCCTTGCCTCAAGAGCTGCCTTAGACACGTGGTTCAAGGCGATCAGACTACGACCATCACCACATTGATGCATCAATGACAGATGGTGTATCAGTATACTATGTAATGAGTTCAATTTCGGGATTAGGTTCGACAAACATATCAAATTGATATACAGATACATAGGGTTGAGGACCCTAATCCATCGCCCGTGGAGTCCCGTCGTTCTTTTTGGTGGTAGAACCAGGTATATCTATCGATTGATTACTTGATTCATTTGAATCTTAAGGTTTAAGTTGTTTAAAAAATAATCTAATAATTCAAATCATTTCTTTGTAGATAATTCAATAACAAAAGAATGATCTGGAACGTACCACAAAGTTACTCCTCAAAGCCCGAAAAAAATATATGCTATTACTATTCTATTCTAATTTAGATTATTTTTGCTAAAATATACTAAATTTATATTTATTTTCAACTTAAAAATCCTAATCTAATTTTTTTTTCTTCTAATTTTTAGAAAATTTTGAAGCTATTTTTTGGTAATTTTACCGTAATGTTGGTATGCTCTACTATACCGACATATGGTACATCAGTATGCCACGGTACATACCATACCGATAGTCAATCGATGCACTGGTACGGACTGGTAAGATGAACCTTGCTACTAAGGATTAGCTTGGGCATAGTTCTAAATCTAGGAATAGTGGTTCAATACCTCTGACCAACTTTATCTAACATTCTTCAGCTTGATCAAATTGGCTAAATTTAGACATGATTTCATGCAAGTATATATATTATAAAACAAATGCAGTATAGAGAGCCCTGAGGTCTTGTTCTTGCCCTGGTTTAGAAAATCTTGGATATTGAGGGAGGCACAAATACTGGTGGAAGGGGGAAAGTTCATTTTTCTAACAATTGGTGTTTGTGAGTTTTTTATTATGTGAAAAGACACAATGTATTTTTGTATCTAATTCCTCAATTTTTTTATTCGCTTTTTTTCTTCTTCTTCATATTACTCAAATGTTCAAGCTGAAATTTAGGAGCAATTTCATGTGTGTGTTATCATATTTCATTCATTTGAATATTGACTTTACTTTTTCACCTTGTTCAACTATGGAGGTGGGTGACTCAGCTCTTTACTTGGGTCTTTTAGCACTTTTTTGCAATGAGTTAGCAGGTAATGTTCATATTCAGCATCTCCTTAGTCCTGACTTGAAACTTGACATGTAATGACAGTTAAGTTTGCATGCAGATATGCATTTCTCTTTCTTTCTGTTTTGTGGATACATTGGGGTCTCTCTTCTCAGCCCTGTTATGCACAACCTGTGGATTTGGAGGGTCTCTGTCTTTCTTTCTCTCTCTCTCTCTCTCTCTCTCTCTCTCTCTCTCTCTCTCTCTCTCTCTCTCATTTTCTCTTTCTCTTATTGTTCACCGTACAAGTTCTTTCTATTTCGTTATATCACTGATGGTCATTGAAATCTTAACAGGGTACTGGAAATGCTAATTTCTACTTTGCCACTGGTCTTGCTTATGCATGCTTGCAGGTACGATGATGTTGCTGCTTATCAATCTCTTCATCTCAATCATCTGATTTTACTAAATGGTGTTTGGTCCTTTAAGCTATAACTAAAAGATGTAGAGTAGATGGCATACAGTGCTGATATTGTTTTGACAACTTTCACCAGAAGATATCAAACTGTTAGATATGTCATGGATTATGCCCGATATTTTCTTGACATAACATGATCGCTTGCACTTTTGCAGACTGTCTTGGTTGTCGAGAGTGTGAGCTCCATGCTGAAGCATGACAGGATGCTTAGGAAGTTGGTCAAAGCTTAAAATTTAATCTAGCGTTATTTACTGGTCTGTCATGGTTCACTGGTTGGTCATCTATGGTGGTTGCATTGCCCTCATATTTGGGAAGCGAATCCTGTTTTTGTTCGGCCCTCAAACTTGATGAACAACCTCATTTACTACAAGATGTAAAATTATACTCAGTTGCAGTCTCCACCATGTAGTAGGAAATTTTTGTTGGTCTCCGAAAGAAATGTTTTGTAGAATTGTTGATGATTATTTCTTTTTACGATTTAGGCATTTGAATACCAAGGAGATTGACGGATGAGAAATTCTGGACTGTTATCTTCACTATCCTGCCGCCGCTGTGGAATGCTTCGCATTAAATCTTAATAAACGGGGCAGTTAAATTTGATTTGGTGCTTAACGTTTTCATTATTAAAAGTCCAAACGCCTCGATGAAATTATTCATACTTTGTCAATGTAATGGAATTGCAATAACCCAATCGATCGACTGCGTTCGTTAAGTCCCGCTGGGATCCAAGTCGGTTTGTCCGGACTCAATCTTGATACGAGCCCCACGCGTCACACTTGGGATAGGTCATAGAAAGGCCTGATTCGTAATCACCGCATCCGCCATTAACTTTCTTTTAAAAGCGACTCTCGCCCCCACCGGCCATCCCTTCTGGTGACGGTGGACCGCTCCTTCCAAAATCCAAACTACTCCTATTCTTTGTTAGGGTTAGGGTTTCTTCCTGACGATGAGGACCTCAAGATCGTAGAAGCACAACCAAGCTCCATTTCTCTACCGGTGCGTCTCTCTCGCTCTCGCTTCTCTTGTTCTTTCGCCCGTTTAGTGCTTGGGTGTGGAAGTTATGTCACCAGGCGGCCGGTGGATCGAATTGGATATTCGCACTGCATAATGGATCTGTTGGTCCCTCAGTTTTTTCTTTGTTGAACCTAGGACCGGGTCCCTTCTGTTTCAACAGAACTGGCTAATCCTTCAGGGCACTCGTCTAGATAGTGAGAATCTCCATGGCTAGCCCGTTGGTATGAGTCGAATGATTGATCTAAACGCGATGTTGGTTTGTGCCCTACGGAAAGAACTATAGCATTGTTCTTCCTCACTCAAACAGACCTTTCTTTTTCTTCTCATCTACTAAGGTTTAAGTGTAGTAAGGCAGGGTAGCTTTGTAAATCTTTCTGGCACATGAGTGACGCTATGGTGGAATTTGGGGCTTACTGCAATCCAAGCAAATGGTTTAAGCTAATTCTTAACTCGAGTGTTGCCATGATGCATATCTGACTTTTCTGTCCTGTCATTCTTTCTTAGCGTGTGTATGCGGTCTATGTGAATAGTGTTGCATAGCATGTGTTGATTTGGTTCTTGTTCTCATCTTTTTGTATTCTGTGCAGTTTCATTTCGGAGCTCTGGCTTTTGGAAGAGATCAGTCACATGGCTTCTTCATCTCCTGTCTCTATTAGCAACATTGGTGACTCTATCATCGCCATCACAGCCATAAATGGCAACACAACACCTCAACAGCCTGGTTCCTATGAAATGCCAAAGCCAAGCCTCCGAGGACTCAACAAACCGAAGTGTATCAAGTGTGGCAATGTTGCTCGTTCTAGGTTGATGTGCTTGCCCCTTTAGTGTTTTGAGTTACAAAATGTGTTAAGGTAGTAACATATTATTCTTAGTATGATAATGAAGAGATGTATTCATGCATAATTTGAAGTCAGTAATAAAAAAAATTAGGAAGGTATTTCAGATGAAGGACATGTGAAACAAAATGAGGAATAACAATGATTAGATCAGAGATTTGCTTTTGTGTGGGGAAAGGTTGTAATCCTTATGATTCCCAAATGTTGCATTTCTTTTTGGTAGAGTTGGTCAATTGGTCACTTTCTTTCATCAGGATGTAATTGCTGGACATGATAACTGATATGTAGCCACTTTCTGTATAATCTAATAAACTGACATGCTTACTTCAGAACATATGTCGTTTCCTTTAGGGTCCAATACTAGGGTATCATGCAGATCTTTTTTAAAGCTTGACCAAATTTCAGGCATTGAGAGTGCATGCTTTGGCATTTCAGTAAGATTATTCCTTTATGACCAGTCTTTGCTTGTAGGGGAAAGTTTGCGTACATCGAGTCTACCTTATTTCAGCATTAGTGGGAGCCTCATGCTTTGAATTACCTCCTTTTTCATTCTTTTTCTTTGACCTATGCCTAGGCATCGGGTTGATGCTAATCTGGAGTCTGACAAATCTTTGGGTCATCTTTCATATAATCTAAGTCATATGTTTCAATGGACTCAAACCATTAAGGACAAGATACAGTTTGAGTAAGAGTCCAAGTCTATCAAGGAATTGGAAAATATAAGCATGGATCCTAATCCAAAAGCCATCATATTCTCATTGGGTATTAGGTTGAGTGTTGGATATTTGTATTTCTTTATTAGGTATGGATTGAGAATCCATATACTGTGCAATAACTTCATGGTTCCAGTTTTTAGTATTTGTGCCCCTGATATTGAGTTGGATTTGTATTGAGTACTCGAATTATTGGGTTCATTGAATACCACTTGTTGGAGATGGACAACTAGCCTGGGATCAGACCTGGTCGGCCTTCTCTTTCTCTCTTCTTCTTCTCTAAATCTATATTTTCTTCAACTCCTTCCTTTTCTCCTTTCTGTTTTCTCGTCTTCTCTTCTTGTTCTTCTTGTTCTATTGTTTCTCCTGAACTTTTGGTTGTCATCATATCTCTTGTGACCATACAGTAAAACTCTGACGCATCCCTGAACTCAAATCTAGAAGAAGGGGCACAACATCTTTGCATTAGGAAGCAACCAATGGATAAAGTAATCAAGCAAATTAAACTTGTCCTTTTAGAAGGTCCATTAAATTCTTGTTATTTGTTAAGCTAATAATTTTCATTGCATCAAGCTATTGGGAATTTGAATTTTTTTTTTTTTGTAGTATAATGGTGTCCATATGGTTTTTTGTTCCATGGACTTTTGTTGAGGCTTGACATTGCTTTTGTAGGTGCCCCTTCCAATCATGTAAGAGTTGTTGTGCCAAAGCCGAAAATCCTTGTCATATTCATGGTACGCTGATAAATTAATGCAGAAATCAGTAATGAATCACAAAATTGAACCTCTTTAACTATTTAGCTGCATCACTGTTGTTTCTTTGAGATCACCATGAAACAATTTCTCTCACTGACCACATGGAACAATTATGCGCTGTTATGATATTTCAATAAATGGAACAATTATGCACTGTTATGATGTTTCAATAAAGTTACCTTACTGGGTTGAACTAATGATATTCTTACTAATATTCACTTTTGTCAATCTTGCTTCGAGGGCAAATACAACAGTTCTGAAACAGAATGGTATTTTACCAGACAAACCACCAGTTTCTAGTTCCATATCAGTGGAACAACCATCAAATGATGTGTCTACAACTGGGTAAGTTGTGCAAATCCAGGACGTAGAAAAAATATTTATTAACATGGCTGTTTGTTAGTATTGTCTAACCATTTAATGGTTCAGGGCTTCTTGGAGACTTAATTCACTCAGGCAGCTTTCTAATAATTTTGCCAATATTTTACGGACAAAGAGACCTCTTACCAGGAAGGTATAGTGACTATAGTCCTTGTTTGTAGTCATTTGTTCAAAATTGCTGATAAGCTCCAGTTACTTTTGCTGACAACTTCAGGATCTTGGCAATGTCTCAGGATGCAACAGATATAAACCAGTGGAGGTTTATGAAGTTAAGAGAGCATTTTGAACAAAATATTGAAGCTGAAAATGAGGCACTTGATAGGTACATGGAAAATGTCGATTTGCTGGAAGAAACACTCTCAATCATGGAAGGAACTGAACCCGGTCACCAGACCAGATTTGGTCCTAGTTCTTCTGAAAATTTGGTATCTGAGATTAAAATGAAGCTTAAAGCTGATTCTGAAAGAGTTGCTGTTTTGCGAGAGAGGATATGGGACCTTATTGATCAGAAATTGAGCAAGTTGCGTGATGCAAAATTTATTCATGTTGATAGTTCAACATATGTTGATGACCTAGATGATCATGAAGAGTGTCAAAGGTCGAAAAAGACCATGAAATGGCGCCATGAAAGAAGTGCAGCAATGACTCACTTAATTAATAAGTTGAGTAGAGCAGAAAGTGATGAAGATCTCAGATCTTGCTTAGACATGAAATCTCAGCTGTCAGACCAGATGGATATTGTTGCAGATGCATCTAGTAATTTGAGAAGTGAAAATCAGTTAATGACCAAGCAAGAATCAGAAAGTGTGGTAACTTTGTCTTTTCATTCTCTATCTAAGATGTCTGCAACTGTCTACGTTGATGAAGATACTCTTGGGAACATTAAAGCACAGTTCTCATCTCTCAGCCAAATTGCAGAATTATGACTCAAGTGTATCACCTCGGCTATGACTCTAGTTTTATTGTGGACATGCCTTAATTTCTTACCTAGTTGGTTTGAATGTCGCTGACTGCTTACAAGAAGTTCATTAGGAAGTGATTGAAATTTAGTGTACCAAGGATGATGCCCATTGTTCTTTATTTTAGCTGTTCCATGTATCAATCACTAGATCTTTATGATCGTGCATATGTAATTCCAATGTCATGAGAAGGTTGATAACGAAGAAGAGAAAACCTACCTGTAAACTCCCCAGGTCTGAGAATTCCTTGTACCATTAGCATCCGTTTCACATTTTGCAATATCTGATTGTCATTGTTGTGGGATCCTTGGGTCCCACAATGGCATATCATGGACTCAATCACTGTACAATATATTGGAAATCTAATGCTGTTACTGGAGGCGTTGATCTTCATAGGTAGGCTGAGTTTGATTGGTGCAGTTTTTTTTTTTTTAAGGGATGAAGTAGCAAAGGCCATGGATATTGTAGCCAAGGAGGCATGCATACTATTGTTGGATGCAATTCTACAGTATTGTTGCACGTCCATCGGGCATCTGTTCTTGGAATTCTCACAATGCTGATTCAAAAAATATTAGATTATAAGTACATCTGTGGGTATGCTTTTCCAGCTGTTGCAGGTATGGGTTAGTTCCTGTTATTTTTACAGTATGTTTGTAAAATTACTGAATCTTTTGCCATGTCATTAGCAAATTAATTACTTGATCACCTTAATATGGCAACAAGTACCCTACCCGATTAACAAAACCTTGACACTATGATTTTGGGCTTCTAATCCTACTATTAGTAACTGTGTTTGTGGAGCTATGCACTTTGATCAGCCAAGTGGCTGCAGAAACTGCATCTTGTTGGTATAGCCTTAAGTTATATTGTCATACAACAGGAGTTGTGCAGTTCTTCCTAATCCAGCAGTTAATGTGATGATACTACGTGATGATTTTGATCATACAAGAGGACTGCCATGCCACACCTATGCCAATGTGGCATCAAGAGTATATTAAGGCCATTGCATTCTGGCCCCTGGCTCTTATTGCTGTGCTTAGCATATCATGGTATCTAAGCTATCTGTCATGATGACATCAGTTTCTTTTGCAAGTTTATCCATAGATTATGCACTACAAATTAGCACGAAATGAATGATTGATTGGATAAGTTTCAGAGGATGGTTGGTGGTCTGACTTCTGAGGCTAATCATGTTCACGTTCTGTCATTTAATGGTCCTAGGTACAGCAGTGTGATGTAAGGCTTCCAAGTTTAGATTTCAGATTCTTAGGTGGTTGAGAAGCCATGTTAGAGAAGCTTTTTGAAGTCAAGGAGAGCCAAACTAAGGAACATTGTCAGGCCATGTTAGGTTTTTGATTAATTATTCTGAGGGTATAAAAGGCTATCCAGTAAGAATTAGTATCCAGTGTCATTTTCCATGTGTATGATTACATATTATAATGGAATAGGTGAAATAGGAATTGCAGAAGGTGACCATCTGTATTCCAACTCCAGAGTACATAAAAATTCAAGCAACCATGGAAATAAAGGTGTTCCAACTTTGCAGATTGTCAACTTTAGCAATAAACTTATGATGGTTTTCTTTGTGCCTTCATCTCTCGAGGATGCTCCTTTTCCTTTCATTTCAGTTCCTGGTTGCTTGCACATCAAAATCCAAAGCTACCTACCTTCCATTCAAAGTGGTGTCATCCCTAACTAGTTGGTGGTGCACTGAATGAGGAACACAGTAGTTTTTAGACGAGCAAATTATGATGGAAAATAGCGTCCTAACTTTCTGACTCTTCCAAAGTAACCATACAGCCATTTAGACTGCTGATGCATTTCTTCATTTGTCTGGGATTCTTGATATGTTCTCTTCTACCATTTATACCTAACTCTTCTCTTTTTGGAGTGTTTCAGATTTACATGTGAAGAATCATACTATGCCTGCCATGCCTCCCTATACCTTATCAACATTATTTGGACAGGCGCTAAGCTCTGCTTCTTAATATGAATTTGATGCATCTAATATGTAAATGATCATTCAATGTATCATCATTCACATATATTCAAATAGGTTTTGGCATTCAAACAAGACCATAAAGAAGCTGCACTGAAATGATAGCTATCTAGACAAAACACAGTTATGAATTGTTAAGCTTGCTTGTTAATATGATTTTTGTGCATCTAATATTTAAATGATTATTCAGTCTGATCATCATGCACATATATTCAAATAAGTTATAAGCATTCATACAAGATAAAAGAGGCTGCACTGAAATGATAGATGTCCACCTTCTCTTGTCAAAAACCTTAGCCAATTAATCACTAATTGCATTTGCTGTTGCTGTGGCATCTGTCGTGTGTGGATTGAATCCTTTTCAGTCAAAATCTGGTCTAAGAGCCTTTTAAGCCTAGCAATGTTCCACCAAATGATCTTTTTGATTTAGTTATATGTCACGGAATGGAAGGTTAGAAGAATGGGGTATGGGATGCTTGTCTCTTGCTACATTCCAAGCCCAATAGTCATGGCATTTTGAGTTTCATTATGGCTTCAAAGATGTAATAATAAGGCCCTTTTTTTGGTCAACAATGGCCAAAAAAGGGACTTAGTGGGATAGATAAGAAGATAGAGATGAACATATCCCATGACAAGAGCATGCAATTAGGAAGAATTAGATCAAACATCACAAGAGCAAGCCAATTTCACTTTGGATATTTTGCTTGATGACAGGTGACCAACGAAATCGTATTGAATTAGCTTAACCTAATTTTGCTGTGATGTGGAAGTGATTTTACTAAAGTTGATGAATGTGCAGATTGACCAACTCCTACATATTATTAAATGTGGATGACAGTGATAGATTAACATTTTTATTTACTAAGTGAATTTATAGCTTTAGAAGAAAGGATATGAGACCAATATCTGAATTTTTCAGTTTTCAGACACAGCTGATCATAAGTTAGCTGCCCAACTTTTGATTAGATGAGGAGACAATATATGGTTGAAATCCCAAAATTTATTAGAAGATAGCCAGATCTAAGATCTTGGACTAAACAAGCTTTTTCTTAGCTCAAGTTAATCCTTAAATTTCACTTGATTTTTTTTTCTAATGGTCTTTAATTAACTTTTTTTTCTTTTTGTGCCTTCAGCCTGGATTGCCAGAGTAGAGTTAAATCAGTCCTGATTTCCCTGAGGATACATCAAAAGATATTATAATAGCAAGATTGTCACCTAGCAATCAAGGCATCAACTTGTCTTTTTCTTCATTCCTTCCCCATGATTCCAGCTCTCCAGCTTCAATATAATGAATGCTCTCTAGGTTTGTCTATGGCAGCATCCAGAGGTTGGTCCACAACTCTAACCAAGAGTTACTGTGGCCAACACACTGACCATGCCATTATAAATGTTCTCTGAGATAAATCTATTGGGAAGAAGCTTTCTTCCCAATAGATGCCGGTGAAGTGAAGCCCCACCTCATTTCACTGTGCAGGTATCACTTTCAAGATATTCCACAGTTCCAGTGATAAATAATATTTGGTTTGGTGTCCTCTACACTGTCGACAGACAGAGAGAGATCGATCGATCTCATGTGCTCTCCCCGACTTAATCCATGGATAAAGACCTTGCTACATTAATTACTGTTAGAAAGTTGGTGGAAAAGTAAAGCTTCCGGTTGCCATCCAAGAAGAAGCAACGGAAGGAAGAGAGCGGATGCTCTTCTTCTCACTCAGAAAGGTTACATTAATGGTGGCTCGAGAGAGGAGGAGATGTCAGAGGGAACAGGGATGTGTGCAGTCTATAGGTGGGTGAGGAGAGCATGATAGCATTAAGAGGGGGAGAAGCCAGCCAAAGTCGTGGCAGCGTGGAGGCAAAGGAAAGGCGGATTGGTACCCCCCTTCTGGCAGCAAAATACTTTGCTGGTTTGGGAGCATGGATATGACTACTGCTTTTGTGTTTGTACTACTTTGCTAAGACATGACTTCCTGACATCTTAGTAAATTTTCTCCTCAAAATAAAACCCAAGATAAGGTTTCTTCTATTTCTTTGGTGTTTATTTCACTCTAACCACTGACCATTGTTTTGGTCTTCATTGTATGTTGTGCAGTGGAAGTTGAGCCTGTTTCTCCACCTTCTCTCGTGGCAGTAAAGCAAGTCTGTGGTTAAAGTTGTCACATGAGACTTCTGCACTCGGCAGCATCCTTTATCAGAACTTAGATGATAACTAGAGAAAGAGAAAAAAGATGAGAAAAGAAAAAGGATCCTTGGAGTTACCTTTTAACTGTTGGAATGTCAAAAGCATTTAGTAAGGGCATCCAACTGAAGAGAAATATTGGTGAAAAGAGCGACAAGGCAATTGTTTTCCTCCTCCTACAACAACACAGATGCTGCAATGAAGTACAATCACAGTATCACATGATATGGGTGCTCTTTTTTCAAGTTGCGTATGGCATTCAATTTTACTGGTTGCAGAGTCCAGAAGGTTGTTGAATGGATGTGATAAAAGCTGTGTTCCTTTGTCTCCAATTTACTCTCTCTGTGAATGGCTGAATCAAGCAGTCTTGCCTGTGAAGTGCTTTTCATGTTGCACAAGGTGAAACAGTTGATATGGAAGCCTCAAATTTCTCTTCAGCTTCACCACCAGTGAACATGAGCCTCTTCCCAGTGTTCTTGGAATCAAGTATATGGAAATGGACACCTCTCTACTAAAGATTAGATACATGAGAAGATGCAAATGGACTCGATAAGAACACGACAAGTTTTATACTTGATCAATACGTGCATCCTACAATTTAGTAGTTGGTTTGTCCACAACAAATGGATGTGGTGCCGTAGAGGATTTTAATGCTTGTGGCCACACATGATCGATCACCAACCTTTATGGTACATGTATTTTTGCAGCTCTGAATCCTCGTGGCATCATAATAAGGCCAAGAAAAGTGCTGTGTATATGACACCCACCTTTCTTTTCTTATATGTTCATACTGCATAATTCATATCTTCTGTTCTCCCATCTCATATGAGATTTGTTGTGATGGATGGAAGAGTGGGGCATGTGAATACATAAATATATGCATTGGTTGGATGATCGAGTTGGTGGTTAAACAAAGGAAGGAAGAGAGAGTGTCACAGCAGGGAACCACCACAGGGCAAACACAGAGTTGAATGGTCCATTTCATTTCTGAGAAGCTGACACCAACAGTGACTCAAAGTTGTGGGCTGCTTCCCCACGTAATTTGCAACAGCTGAACATGAAAGATGGAGACTCTGTGGATGCAGATAATATTTTATTTTCTACCGATGTGGTGGGCTCCAAAAATCCCAACCCTGACAGCCATCGATTTGATCTTTACCTCCTCGCTTCCCACCAACACAGCTTTTAATTTCTTGCCACCAACTTCTCTCCCTTTGCTTTGCTATGTGATGACGGTCGGTCGGGTGCAGATGAGTCCCCGAATTGTGCAGATAGACATGAGAATGGAGAAGACCGTAAGATGACTGTGGAGAAAGAGGAAGGTGGTGGTGGTGGTGGCGACGAGTCCTCTACAGCACGTGTGAAGCTCGTAAGAGTTGGGCCCATATAATATCTTTTCTTGTATATGCTTGACTTAGTGCAAGAATTCCATTATATGTGAGCTGCACTTACAACAGTAGGTGAAGATAGTGAGTTCTTCTTTTATGTTAAGAGGTTAACTAAAATGTGAATTTTATTCCTTTAGTCAGTCCAAGTAATATACCTTCGGCTATTATGTGTGTTGCCTTTTTACAATCTTGATAATTAAGATTTAAACCATAATATATGATCATGTATTTTAATGATAAGATTGTGTATATGATCTTGATATGGACAAAACCCATTAGCATGAACATATTACTAAACATATTCATGATTTGGAAAAAGAAAGAAAAATATTCATAATATGGTAAAAAAAAATATTACTAAACTGATTATATTATATTTTTTATTTTTACAAAGGATAAACGACGAAGATGAGATTTAATTTTTTTTAAGAATAAAAAAGAAACAAAGATTTGATTGGTTTTCTTGATAGGATAATTGAAGCATATCAAGATCATCAAGCAGGACCGCATAACTCTTCAATCGATTCATGGTGTGAAAAATAATACAGACAAAAACAATTCAAAAAAAATTAAACCGAAAAAGGCAGATCAAAAATATTGTTTTGTATGTATGTATGACGAGATCCTTTAGTGTGAAAACTAATACAGACAATGACAATTCAAAAGCACGCGTTGATTCGCATATGTGGCCGCAAATTGCACTTTGAATTGCTCGTCTTCTTTGGCAAGAATAGAGATGGACGTCATTGTTTTCCATTAGGCATCACTCTCAAACTAATACACATCTTCTATCAACCAAGTAAGATTAAAATTAGGTCGAAGGGTTTCATCTCCAGATGCCAATTATCATAGATAGCAAACAGATCAAAAGGAAATAAAAGTTGTTTTTGTGATTTGTCAAAAAAAAAAGAAGACTAGTTTAAAGGAACAATTGGTTTTTGAAACCAACCACAGATTGTGCTATTTTTCTCATTCTATCGGATTTATAATTGTATGATTGACTAACTTGATCCTCTAATTTTTGAACCTAAAACAAATATTCTCAACTCTTTATTTATTAAAATTTTTAATAGCGTATGCTCTCATCCACTATATTCTAGAATTATTTTTTAATATTATTCATATATTTTTATTCGATTAATTGACCTATTGATCGAATTAATGTTCTAATAAATCGAAGCTTTGAATTTTTTTTCGATAAGATGAAAACGGCAAAGTTGGGAGTCGTGTTTAATTTTTTATCAGCTAAGCTAGTCAATATCTTCAAAACATTAATAGTTGATCGATTTAATATTTGATTTGATTCTGATAACTATGGTATATGTTATCTTTGAAAATTTTTAAAAATTAGAATTAATCAAGAAAATCTACAGGTTATAATCAATCATCTAAACAAAACAATATATAAATTCTATATCCTGATAAAATTCAAAAGCTTAGAGATATATCATTATAACCAATCTTCGTCGTTTCGATGACATCAAAAATAATATCCATAATTCATAAATTGATATTTTTAAGTAGCCTTTATAAATTTAAATTTATACTATAAGGAATCAAATACTCAAATAAAATAAATATCTTATAAATTTTAAAAAATAATTTAATTTCGAATCCACCTGTAACTATGATTAGTAATGATCGATACGAATTTATGGGATGGATGGATGGATGCTAAAGAAAGTGATGTACACTGAGGATTTAAATATTCGAAGGATGTATACGCAAGACGTCCATTCTCTCTATTAAGCGTTGGAAGGACAAATACGCTATTTCCAAAGTTTCAAAGGATGAATCTGAAAAATCACCCTTCGTTTCCATTACTTGCCTCGTTATCCTTTAAGATTTGGAATCGAATCACAGCTTAATCAATTAAATCTCCGATTACGGGATGATTTAATGTTAATTAATCCCCCACACCCCCAAAAACACAGAAAGAAAGAAAAGAAAGTTGAAGTGCGTACGCGTAAGGCGTGGGAGGGAGAGCATAAAAAGGGCGAAGTCCGTCTTCCTTTGATTTGTTCGCTACGAGCGCGTCTCTCTCGCTTTCTTCTTTTGCTGTCGCCTAAAAGCGTGGGTGGGTGCGAAACAACGGAGCGCAGTGAAGCGAAGAAGAGGAGAGGCCGAGAACCTGCCTGCCTTCCTTCCTTCCTTCCGTTGCTCTAATCATACCCCTTCTTTCTGCTTTATTCTCCCCTCCTCTGCTCTGCGAATCCGCCTTCTTTGCTCGCTTCCTTCCGCATATATCTTCTTTATCGTCCGGTACTGCAATGGCAGTTCAAGCCCAATACCGTTCCAACGTTCTGCTACTAAATGGGTGGGTATCTCTGCGTCAAGCTCGGATTTTGATGATTCTTTTGGCCATCTGACTTTTGGTTTCTTTGCCAAGTTGGGTTTTTGATGGATGGTTTTGGTGATTTATGACCGGCGGGTCGATGCAGAAGCGAGCTGGAGGCGAAGGAAATGGAACCCCTTTTCCTTGATCAGTCCCTGGTGTTCTTCGCCAATGGAGGTGAGCCACCCGAGGTGGCTTCCGTTTCTGTTATTATCTCGATCGTTGTTGCTCTGCGATTGTTGTATAGGTTTCTGAGATTGGATGTGTTCCGTGTTCAGCGAATGGGAATCCGAGGAAGCGGGGCAGGGAGGTCACGAGCGTTCCAATGGCTTCGATGCCGCAGCAGAGCCAGCCCGTCAACCTCTTCTCCCTGCAGCCACTCCCCGTCTCTGCACCCCTCCCGCCACCGACGCTTGTGAGCCTCGCCGAGCTCCGAACACTCCCCCGTCCCCTCGTCTCCACCGGCCTCCGTCTCGCTTTCGGAGACCAAAACCAGCATCAGAGCCAGAACCAGTCCAATCCGCTTCTATGTTCATCTTCTCCTGCTTCCTCGTCTCTCTTCTCCTCCCTTCTCTTCGAAGATCTCGCCGCACAGATCAATCAACAGAAGGAAGAAATCGAACAGTTCCTCCACGCCCAGGTATACGCTCCCTTCCCTTCCTTCTCGGCCACCTTGTTCTCACAGTCCCTGGTTTTCCTTTGGCTCACAAGCCTTGGTTTTCTTGTGAGGAAGGGAGAGCAACTGCAGCGGACGTTGGCAGAGAAGCGGCAGAAGCACTACGGGGTTTTGTTGGGCGCGGCGGAGAAGTCGGCTGCCCGGAGGTTGCGGGAGAAGGAGGCAGAGGTGGAGCGGGAGGCGCTGCGGAGCTCCGAGCTCGAGGACCGCCTCGCCCGCCTCCGAACCGAGTCGATGGCGTGGCAAGCCAAGGCCATGGCGGACCAGGTGACGGCCGCCTCACTCCACGCCCAACTCCAACACGCCGCGGCCACTGCGGCGACGGCGCCCCAGGGGAATCCGGGCGGGTGCGGAGACCCCCCGCCAGCCGAGGACGCCGAGTCGGCCAACGTAAACCCGGGCCATTCCGAGCCCGAGCACGCGTGCCGCACGTGCCGGCGTCGTCCAGCCTCGGTGGTGCTCGTCCCGTGCCGCCACCTCTGCCTCTGCGACGCCTGCGACGGCACCGCCGAGTCGTGCCCCGTTTGCCGCAGCATCAGAACCGGAAGCATCCACGTGGTTCTCTCGTGAGCCCACGAGTCCCTTCACCGCCGTTCGCCATCGTTCACTGCATCACCCACCGTCCAAACTCCAAAAATTAAAAATATAATATAAATAACAAAAAAAAAGGTTCCTACATATTTTTAATATATCCGATGGGATTTCTCTTTTTCGGTTAATTTATTTTTGGATATGAACAATTTTTTTTTATTGATGACAGTAAATATTTTTTTTGATGTCATTTCTGTAAAAATTTCAGGTGTGTCGCTGCAAATGTCATTTTTCGGTCGTCGTAATATAATTAAAGGCCGTCGTGGAGTCTTCCACGACCGTCAGATCAGGATCATGGAGAACAGGGCACGACTTTTAACGCGATGAATACTAGACGTCTTCCGATCTCTATCCAAGACTGCCACCTATCGATCCTCAAGTCTCGATCTTCTAATCTTCCAAGTCCGACGTCTCAATCTCCCATTCTTCCAATTCTTACGTCTCAATCGTCTCCCGATAAGATCCCATATGTGATTATGATGCCCGTCCATCGTGGAGATCGAGGAGGCTAAACTATGAGAACTCTGACACTGTTCTTAACTTGGGGAAGAAGTGAGCATCGACTCGATTTCCACGGCATGCAGATGGAGATCACAAAGAACAAACGTAGCATACAAGAACCCAGTCAAAAGTGTCATGCTACGGCAAATACTTGTCATCTAACTAGTCTCGCAAATCCTAAACTAAGATCCCATGATTTAATAGGTTCATTGATCTGCTAGTTTGACTCGAAATCTCTCGATTTTAAGATGCAAGCATGCCATGGAGCACATCTCTCCTCCCTTCGATCCACTAATAAGAATCTGATAGGAGTAATCGTGCCGAGGTCTGACCATCGGCCATCGCATTAATGGTCGAGCTCAAAGGTGCAATCCATAGCTTGAAAGACGGGGAACGCACATGGCGTGGTTTGCATTGAATCAAGCAAGAGGGAAAGAAGCCCGTTCGGCACATATCATTCAATTCTTGTCCTCCCTCGGCTTGCTTCGCAAGGGGGACCTTCTCATGTGATGTCGGTCGTTAAAGGCACAAATAGTACATGATAAGACGACTTTTGTGCTTACTACAGCATGGATTGCTCTACCAAGTACTGTTACAAATATTTCTTTTCCTTTTCAGCACTATTACTACAATTCTTAGGATTAGGATCATTGGACCATTGATGCTACTTGAGGCAAAAAAAAATGGTGGTGATAGTATCCTCCACTTTCGAGAGTGATTCCAATGAAATCACCAATGTTCTCTAAAACTCAAATGATTCATAATGGAAGAAAAAAGGGAGTGATTCATAATCCCAAAGGCATAGACTCTTAAGAAAATAAAATCATATATTTACATTATAGAAACATATATTATGATAAAAGTTTTCTATTAGATGACAAATAACCCCAAAAGCTTAAGGTTTTAGGATGGCAGGATTTGTGTTAATGATAGATAATGACAACAATAACAGAAGGTGGTTGTGAAGAGTGTGTCAAAGAATAACAATAGTTTTCTACATCTGAATGATGTCACCCAAGTTCAAGTCAAATGCTGACAGGTATTCAGATAGATGGCGATACATCAGCTCAATCAATTTCCCAGTCAATCAAGTTCCAGGAATCCCTATTTGTTTTCCAGGTAGCAGGTAAGTCCTGCAGCTGAGATTAGGAAGATGCACAACTACTTTGTTGAGATCATCACAAGTCATCATCAGCAAATTAAGCTCAACATGTCTCAAGGACTCAGAAAACAATGAGCTAAAACTACTCAAAAAATTTTAGACATTAGAAAAGGGCATGAGAAATGGCCCACAGTTTCTCTGTCCATTCAAGGATGCCAAACATCCAATAAGTACAACTTGTAATGAGGCAGGCTGATGAAGACATCAAACATCTTGAGTAAAAGGATGCATCAGAACAAGTTTATCCAAAAGGCTGAAGTTTGCAACTGAAACATCTGCCTCATCAAAAAACCTAATAATGGAGACAAGTTTTAGGCAGCTAACAGTTAACCTTCACCTGTCATCAGGACTGAGTCAATTAGGAAAATTAAAGAGTAGCCTTGTATTAAGAGAGGAACAATCATGGATATAACTTAGGCAAGAAGCAAGAAAAAGACTGCTACTTCATGTAACCATCACAAGGGGTCAAAGCACTTCTGTGACAGCTTCAAAAGCATGCAACACATACCTAACCAAAATTGTTCATGCATAGCATAAGTGACTAGAAGAGCACTTGAAAATTAACAATGAAAATATAGAAACTTGTGTGGATTTTTGTGTTGTAAAGTCCTAGTTTAATACTACATTGAATATGGGAGAAGAATCAGGTTGATTTACAGGCTAGTAGGTTAAACATTTTGGATTAGTGATTCAATATAGGTCGGATCATGAAAAATGGTGTTTGAATTGATCTAATATTAGATAGAAGGCCAAGTAGGAAAGTCTACCTATGACACCATAGTAGGTTTAATTCTATACTATGTTTGGATTAGATGAGAATCGAATTGATTGATGAGGCTAAATGAGTCTATGATCATTAATTTAATATTGAATATTTTGTGTCAATTGTTTAGACCTATCAACAGGTCAGTTCTCCTATGGAGTTGGCCATGACTTGCAAACATAGATTCCATACCTTTCCTATAGATGGTTCAACTACTATTTTGAGTAACTTGAGTGACCAAGGAACATATTAGATTGAGGTGGAATATTCTTATAACCATTTCTTGCTGTCCAATTAGATTCTCAAATATGACTTCATAACTAAACTGGTAATATGTTTGCAATGTCATTAGCAAGCTTGTTCAGTAATAAACAAATTAAGCTTCTGGACAAATTTCCATCACCGATACTATGAATAATGCATTTTAAACATCTTTGGACAACAACTCATCTTTGACAGGTCCTCCTGTGCCCCACCAAACAATATGAAAATTTGCTCTCTTCCTTCTTTCCTAAGTCATAATTTTTAATCTATCCTTGTATACAAAAATTTGATAGCTTTGTTCTGCTGATGTTGATTACTTCAATTTGATCAAGTACAATTCAAGTTACATCATTGAAAATATTACAAAGCCATGGAAAGTTGCACTCACAAACCACCTATATGCTCTATGAAAATGTTGGACAAACTTCAAGAAGGTTGTGGCTAACAATTTGTTCAAATCATGTTCACAACAAAAATTACTATGGACTAATTGGCCTAACAACAGAGAATCTTATCACCGCTAATGATTGAATAAAACCTTAGAAGATGGCTAGATCAGTCTGCAAATGACCTTAACAAGCTAGAATTCCAACAAGTATTCATCTGTCTATGTAGCTATTCCAAGTGCCAAAATTATTCAACATTATACTTGCTGCTTACAATGAGTTGCAAAGTTGAATAATGTAAGAGTTAGACCATAGCAGTACCATGCAGAAACCAAAGAGAGACACTAAAGAGAAAGTTCCTTTAGTCATGGAAGAATTAATTCGCCATAAGAATACTAATCAATATGTTTTAAACAACATGCTAGCCAGTGATCAGAATAAGTTAATGCATAATTCTTCAGTGGAGATACCAAAAAAGTTGAGAAAAAAAAAAAAGAATTTCAATTTCTAGGCAGAGATGGTGGACGATGCACTTTACAATATTAATATTTCCTTGTTCTGTTTTCTGAGAATGAGGTAGCATCAACAACCAGTAACCTGTGATTCTGCTCATGATTCAACCATATCAAATTTCACAAAATAAAAATTATCATGCAACAGTTAACCGTCATTTACATTAGAAGCGGTATCATGAAAGATGCTGAAGCTTGAACTCAAGAATCTCATCAGAAACAGAGCAGCATCTTGAACAATAATGAGAATTGAAACATCTTCCATCATTGGTTGCTGTTGTAGGAAAAATGTAATTGTCAAATACCCCTCAGAATATGATGACATATTCCATGATTATGCCCATATCCTCTTCTTTGGAAGAAGATCTAGTGTCTTGATCTGATCTATTCTAGCTGCTACAATAAAGTCATTCATACTCAAACCACCTGCAAGCAATATAGAGTCAATAAAGTTTGACTTGAGGAGTTAAAGAAAATAATTGCTTTCTTCAGGAATTATATTATCTTTTTATCTAACATCGGCAATGAACATGACAATCAAATAGCTGTGTAGGATAATCTAAAAATAACGCAATAGAGTTCGTGAGAGCATTGTTGGTCCTCTTAAACAGCAGTTAAGCCCTATCACCATTCATGCCTGCATTGTGCAGTAGCAGCCCTGACGAACGTCTCAACAATGCTGAAGGGAGAAGGGGAGGCCAGAGAAGAGGATATCAATCTAAAGGAGAACAACTACATAATCTATTTCGATGGTTTTACTTTTCCTTCAATTGGTTTTATTGAAGTGTGCAGAATAAAAATAAATACATGCATGCAGAATCCAGATAACAACTAAAGGAATATGCAAATAGAATTATTTTCATTGGCAATTTAGTAAGAGTTGTCCCAATCATCATATGTGCACACTTCCAAAATGCAATTGTATTGTATTTTCATAACAAATTTCCTGCCCAATATGGCATATAGGTAGTAAAACCAAACTTAACCAAAAAACACAGTTCATGATGCCTGAAAATCGAACATATAGAACAAAAGAAACAACTTTGCCTATTTCATATAAATAACCAAGTAACCAACTAATGAACTTGGATTACACCTACCAATTCATCATTATTCAGACTATGAAGGCCAATATTTACCAAGGATCAAGATTGAAGTTGCCAATTTTGATGATAGCAGTAAATTCTGTAAAATTAACAACGGCAAACACTATCCAAAAATATAAAAAATTGAAAACTTTATGTCATATGCAGCATATACTGCAACAGGCATCAAATTCAAATTTGATGATTGACATCTAGTAGCCATCCAATAAATTACTTGGAGAAAATTATATTAAATAAAATGATCAACGTAAACATACCCACAATTTCCAAGTGCATCTCAAGTTGTTGCTAACAAAACAAAAAAGAAACGATGACAAAGTGGCAGTCTATATAAAGTGTGCTGTGTTAATTAGATAGACAAGCCAACACTACAAATGTTGCTAAACTACCAGAGGACAGTATAAAAAATTCTAGATGATCGCTAGTGTGGGCTACAAATATATCCTAATACTTCAAAGTGCTGCATGAGTAATGCCAATTTATCAGCCAAGAATCA